AGTGTGACAGCATCTCAAGGCGTTGCACAGACATAGGGAGTAATGGGTAAGCTCGTTAATAGAGGCAGTGCGTTAATAAGCAGAGCCATAGAAACGGCTTTCACTTGAACAAGGGCAGGGTATCGGCAGCACGGATGTGATGTATGTAGCCGGTTCACATGACCGTGCAGCCACTAGCGGCCGCTACATTCACCACAATGTTATATCATGCGAGATGAGAAAAAAAAGTTTGGCTGGCTGGCTGGGCGGAGGGACGGACGTACTACGACGTCCGATGGACGTGCAGGTTTCGAGTATAAACAAATAAATAAAATGTCGATTCTCGCATCGAATCGCAGCCGCGACTTGCGACATCGCAGACTCACTCCACGTGCGCTCGCCACCTAACGCGGCTGAAACCATCCCGAAAACCACCACCGCAGCAGCGGCGTCCGAGCCTCGGGAATTTCCTGGTGGCGCGCTCCCACTCGCGACTCGCAGCTGCGGGATAAGCATCTCCGCGATTAAAAAATAGAATCGGCACTGAGCAGGGGCGTGCGTCGTCCACGCGACGCACGAGCGACTGAGTTGGAGCCAAATGAACTCGAACACGGCCGATCCAGAAGGAGCAGTGGGGAGCAGCTCACGCTTGCAAGTGACTTTGAGAAGGCCGGGGGGTCATGCGCAGGAGGTTACGAGGCTGGACGCCGACTGCGGGGAGATGCGACGGGCGCATGGGCAGGACGCGCCCCAGGGCCAGAAGGGACGACCACGATGATGATTATGATGATGATGACGACGGTGAGGAATAATGACGCAGCCGTAGTCAAGGAATGGAAAGCTTCCGAGGATGAGGTTCCATCGGGAGGAGACGGAGCCATGAGCTGGGATCGTTTTGCAGGCGCCAAGTGGGGTTTGTTGCATCGCCAGGCCGTGAGGGATGATGACGAATCGGGGAGGCCTTTATTCGGAAGTGGATAGAGCATGGGCGCGAATATGCACGATCTGCATCATGGGAACTCGCTTGCCAGTATCAACATATAAAAATAGGTTTATCCCTTCAGGCAATACAACAGGAGGTGTTCAGATGTTAAAACACCAAAGAGAAACCTTTTGCAAGGAATGTCTGCATTGACCACACGTGCTTGTGGCGGACATGCAAACAAAACACATGCTCTGGTCTGCTCTCCGCTGGAGTGATCGTGTGTTATTGTGTTCGTGATTGCCGTGAGAGCTCATACTTGGCAACTCCTTACCAGTGCCCTACCTTATTATGAAACCAATTCAGACCGTATTGGTCACCCCGTGCCCTTACACATCCCAAAGTCCCATCACAAGGGAAAAACAGACAAAAAAACCAACACGTTAATTTTTGCCCGTATTGAAACGCCTATGGACCTCAAAACTCTATTTCCCTGGACAAGAATACGGGGTAAACCGTATGGGTTGACAGCTATGAAAGCTTCAGTCCTCACTCGATATTTTCCAGAACGCTGCGAGGGCTGCCTTGGAGCATGGATTATCGGCATAAGGCACTACCACTAACTCGAGTACTGGCGTCAGTATACTCTACATCCTCATAATCCCGTGAGCAGGGTTTGTAAAACTGACGGGGGATAACTAAGAAGGTCTCGGATGGATGTGGCTGCCTGGGGAGTAACGGAACGGTCGTGGCCGCAATAAAGCATCGCGTGCATGGGAGTCTCAGCGTGCCGGTTGTTGATGCAACTTGGGGCGAGAGGAACCCCAAAAGGTAGTCCAACACCGCTGAGTCAGTCGCGAAGATTCCAACCACATTTAGCCCACAGGAACAACACCAGACAGAGATTCCCCCAGTGTGTGTGTCGACTCGATGGGGAAGTTATGTTTGCGAGCCTCGATTAAGGGTCGGCACGGCACACGAGGGAGTGGGTGGCCAGCAACCACGCCCGGACGCCTTTGGGGCCGTCCATAAATGACGTCACGCACCTGGGGGGGGGGGGGGTCAGACATTTGCGACGATGTGTGACGAGGGGGGGGGGGGGTGAAAAATGTGACGTCACATCAAAATGCGCAACTTTAAATAAATATAGACAACACGTTCTACTTAATTAAATATACTTTTTTAATAAATGTGTTCTCCTACAACATCAGAGTGCAGCGCCACATTAAATACGCACTACAATGACAATAGTTTAAAGCGATTTGAAGAATGTTTTATATTTTTTGGGAGGGGGGCAGAGCTTTGTAACGTCACATTTGAGGGGGGGTCTGACTTTTTGTGACGCCGTGTGACGAGGGGGTGGGGGGGTCAAAAATCGTCCAAAATCGCGTGACGCCATTTATGGACGGCCTCTTATTTCCCCAACGCTGATGTTTAACACACCGCACCAGGTATTCATTTAAGGCTGAGTCGACCAAGGGGGGAAGCACACGATTGGTGCAGATATTTGCCACTCGTGAGCGGTCATCGAACTCGGCTCGCCTGCTTCGTAGCGCACTGCGCTAACCGCTGCACCACCGCTCCAAGGACACACACGCGCGCGTGCGCGTACCATTCATAACCCAACTAACATCGCGCACACGTGCGACGCTACTGCTGCTCCACGCAGGCTGATGTCGAACACAAGACAAATAGAATCGATTATTATTGAATCCAGTAGCGACCCCCCCCCCCCCCAAAAGATTATTCGTCAAATCGCAAAATCGTCAGAGTGGCGATCGCTCTGCGCTGCGAACCTGTCAACGCCAGTTCGAGTCTCGGTCACAACCTTCCGCTCTTCAGAAACCCGCGCTGGCCAGCGTGGTGAAGTATGGTCAATCAACCCCCCCCATCCCCCCCACCAGCGTGGTGAAGTATGGTCAATCAACCCCCCCCCCTTCCCCCCCCACCAGCGTGGTGAAGTATGGTCAATCACCCCCCCCCCTCCCCCCACCAGCGTGGTGAAGAATGGTCAATCAACCCCCACTCCCCCCACCAGCGTGGTGAAGTATGGTCAATCAACCCCCCCCTCCCCCCACCAGCGTGGTGAAGAATGGTCAATCACCCCCCTCCTCCCCCCACCAGCGTGGTGAAGTATGGTCAATCAACCCCCCCCTCCTCCCCCCACCAGCGTGGTGAAGTATGGGCAATCAACCCCCTCCTCCCCCCACCAGCGTGGTGAAGTATGGTCAATCAACCCCCCCCCTCCCCCCACCAGCGTGGTGAAGTATGGTCAACCAACCCCCCCTCCCCCCACCAGCGTGGTGAAGTATGGTCAATCAACCCCCCTCCTCCCCCCACCAGCGTGGTGAAGTATGGTCAATCAACCCCCCTCCCCCCACCAGCGTGGTGAAGTATGGTCAATCAACCCCCCTCCTCCCCCCACCAGCGTGGTGAAGTATGGTCAATCAACCCCCCCCCCTCCTCCCCCCACCAGCGTGGTGAAGTATGGTCAATCAACCCCCTCCCTCCCTCCACCAGCGTGGTGAAGTATGGTCAATCAACCACCCCCCCCTCCCCCCACCAGCGTGGTGAAGTATGGTCAATCAACCCCCCTCCTCCCACACCAGCGTGGTGAAGTATGGTCAATCAACCCCCTCCCTCCCCCCACCAGCGTGGTGAAGTATGGTCAATCACCCCCCCCTCCTCCCCCCACCAGCCTGGTGAAGTATGGTCAATCAACCCCCTCTCTTCCCACCAGCGTGGTGAAGTATGGTCAATCAACCCCCCCCTCCTCCCCCCACCAGCGTGGTGAAGTATGGTCAATCAACCCCCTCCCTCCCTCCACCAGCGTGGTGAAGTATGGTCAATCAACCAGCCCCCCTCCCCCCACCAGCGTGGTGAAGTATGGTCAATCAACCCCCCCCTCCCACACCAGCGTGGTGAAGTATGGTCAATCAACCCCCCCCCTCCTCCCCCCACCAGCGTGGTGAAGTATGGTCAATCACCCCCCCCTCCTCCCCCCACCAGCCTGGTGAAGTATGGTCAATCAACCCCCTCTCCTCCCACCAGCGTGGTGAAGTATGGTCAATCAACCCCCCCCCTCCTCCCCCCACCAGCGTGGTGAAGTATGGTCAATCAACCCCCTCCCTCCCTCCACCAGCGTGGTGAAGTATGGTCAATCAACCACCCCCCCCTCCCCCCACCAGCGTGGTGAAGTATGGTCAATCAACCCCCCCCCCTCCCACACCAGCGTGGTGAAGTATGGTCAATCAACCCCCCCCCCTCCCCCAACCACAACCAAACTACAGCGTGATGAGGCCTCCATCCAGCAGTGGATTGATAAAGAGCTGCGCGTACTGTACTGTCATTGGGGAGACAAAGGCGGTCGTGCGTGGTGCTGGCCACCCACCCCCTGGTGTGCCGTTCTGGCCTTAATAGGTGCTCGCAAACACAACTTGCCACACAAAGGTCTGTTAAGGCTATACGGGGGACCTTTGTCTTTGTACTGTGAGAGATTGGCTGCCCACAGCTCCGGGACTTCTCACGCCAACCCGCGATATTCAAGAGCTGAATTTGTGTTCGCTGCCCGTGGTCCCAGCACGATTCAGGCTCAACACTGGTGGCTAAGCAGGTCCAAGCCTGGCCAGGGCTTGCATGGACGACCACCACGCACCACGGAGTGCTACGGGAATTCCTCGGTGGGGGGTGGGGGGGGGGCAGAGCAAAGAGCGGTGCAGGAAAAATCCATTGTAGTTTTGTACTTTCCCCACTCACATTCAACCAACCAGCTACTTGACCAGCGTGGTGAAGTATGGTCTTACAACTCTCACTGTGGGGGGGGGGGGGGGAGGAGCCCCCCCCCCCCCCCCACTTCACGGGCGATGCACGTGTTCATCTTGAGGGCGCATCGAGAACCGTGTCGAAGCGAGGATTAAAAATAATGCGCGTCACCGCGAGCGAGAGAGAGAGAGAAAAAAACAGACGCTCGAGGGAATCCCAAGTACGTCACGGTTAGGATACCCCCCCGGCACAATACCATATATGGAGAAAAAGGGGAAGTGCGGTGGCTTAAATAGGGAGCTCCACACGCGACGAGGCAATAGCGGCCGAGGCGCGCTTCACGCAACGAGGACTCGCTCCGCCAGCCTCACTCGCCTCGACACAGCCAGCAGCCCGAGGCTTCCGCGAGACGCAGAGAGACGAAGAGAGAGAGACATCGCCCACGTGGTGGACAACCGAACGGTGGACACGGACGCAGCCTAACCCCACCCCCCCCCCCCACAGTCCTCCCGAGCTCGGAGGAAAAAATCCACATTCGTTGTATCTGCTCCTTCTCGCGTTCGCACGGGGGGGTGGATCAGCCGTGGGTGGGCAAGGCGGGGTTGGCGAGTGGTGGTTGTGGCTATAAGAGCCGGCGCAGTCACCCGAGAGCTCCACACAACAATCATCATCATCATCGCCGCGCACGCTGCCTTAGCTGCTGCTGCTGCTTCTGCTACTACTACTACCTACTGCTGCCACCTGACCGAGTGGGCAAGGAGAGATTCCCTCTCGTCTGCCACGGGGCCGAAGGCAGCCTCTGAAAGGGGCCCCACTCTGAGATGCTACAGGACTCCTCCTCCTCCTCCTACCTGGAACGGGAGAGCGGCTCCCGGGAGAGCCTCTCGTCAGCGCACGGCTCCCCTCCCTTCATGAGCGCCGATGCCGTCTTCGCCGCCGCTGCCGCTGCTGCGTCTTGCCAGGTGAGACTTGTGGGAGCACAGAGGACGTAGTGGACACAGAGCCTCAGTGCCTTGGTGCCGAACGCCGGCTGTCGGATAACTCGCTAGCTAGGTGCTGTTGTTCATAGCGGCCGCAGATGATGATGACGATGTTGGTGGTGGTGGTGGCGATGTTACAGGGCTGTACGATATATATAACAGCGGGTAAGACGCGTGCAGCTTTTAGCTAAAGTGCAAGTTGCTTAACGGGAACAGCGGCGGATGATCAAAGTGACGTTGATGACACTGTTACAGGACGAGACGCACGTGGAAGCTGTGCTCGCTATTAGCTGGCCGCTGTTGTTGTTTAACAGCTGCAGGCGATGTTGTTGGTGGTGGGGGCGATGATGACATCGTCACACAAAGCGACATCCTGTGCGAGTAGCTTGGCAGGAGCGCTCATTCACACGTGAGACGGGGGAAGCGGGGCAGAGTCTCAGGACGAGTGGTCCAGGAGGGTCCTGCACCGGAAGCTTAGGCAAGTTTCCTTAATGATTGTGACAAGTGTTTTGTTCTTGGGGGCTACGTGAGGGTTCCATGTGCATCCGGAGTCTACGATAGCCAATCGAGAAGCGCTGCTGTGTATGACCGAACTCCACTCATCGTGCTACAGGCACAGGTGTAGCGAGCGTAGCTCTGTATATGCGAATATGTACTAGAAGGACGGTGTGTGAGGTGTGGTTTGCGGTGTGAGTGGTGTGTACGCGTAGTGTGTATTGTGTGTGCGTGGTGTGTGTGTGCGGTGTGTTTGTGCGGTGTGTTTGTGCGGTGTGTTTGTGCAGTGTGTGTGGTGTACGGTGTGTGTTCGGTGTGTGGGTGGTGTGTGCGTGGTGTGTGTGGTGTGCGGTGTGTGTTCGGTGTGTGTTTGGTTTGTGGTGTGGTGTGCGGTGCGGTGTGCGGTGTGAGTGGTGTGTGCACGTAGTGTGTATTGTGTGTGCGTGGTGTGTGTGTGCGGTGTGTTTGTGCAGTGTGTGTGTAGTGTGTTCGGTGTGTGGGTGGTGTGTGCGGCGTGCGGTGTGTGTGCGGTGTATGTTCGGTGTGTGGTGTGTGTGTGGTGTGTATGTGGTGTGGCGTGCGGTGTGTTTGAAGGCGTTGTGCGTGACATGTGACACGTGTGTGCTGGCGGCGTGCAAAGTGAATCACTGCACGCGTTTTGCTGCTCGTGTCTGGAAGTATAATTAATTGCTGTATATCTCAGTACACGCTGGGGGTGGAGCGGTGGCGCAGTGGTCGGCGCACTGTGGCTATGAACTTGGCCCACCTGAGTTAGATTCTCGGGCAAGGAAATTCAAGACCGCTTTGTGGGCAGTCAAATAATAGTTTGTTTCATCAACAGGCTGGTTCCTCCCATGGGAATGTGTAATTTCCGCCACTCTACTGCTGGTTTGAAAGAGTCTCCTTGATTTGGCGTGTTAATTGATCTCCGTTCATGCCGTTCATGATGATTTTGACCATACTTCACCATTCTCTGATTAAGGAAGGGGGGTGGGGTGGGGTGGGGGGGGCGTGCACATAACCGGTTCAGGGATCTCCCGGGCACTTGTTAGCCGTGGCCGGGAATCGAACTCGGGTCGCAGCCGGGTTCAATAGCGCAGTGCCCTGGGCCCCTCTATAGGAGGTGCTACAATTGTAAATCGAGAACGTCTCTCTGCTCAAGCGAGCGCAGGTGGAAATTCCGCATGCATATGGTGAGCGCCAGTCTGTCCCCAGGGTGAGCCTGGGAGTGGTGGTGCACGCCTGCGATCCGGCGCGTTTGGGTGCAAGGGTTGGTAGATCACGTAGAGATGTTTGAATCTCCCAAACCCGTTGGACTGTGAGGTGGCCATATAGCAAGTAGGTTGTGAATGGTGCAATACCCCTATAAGCGATGGTGCCCCATCACATTCGTGCCGAGCAAAACCAAACCGACGACGGCTAAATAAAGTGGCAGCAAAGGAATGCAACGCGTGTGGGAGGTCCGTCCATCACGGAGATGGAGCGACAAAAATCAGTGCATGTGCGGGCAGGTGCTCGGTGGGTTGGTAATGACATCGTCTGGTCGTGAGAGGAGGCGGCGGCGGCGGCTTGGAGAGACCTTCATGGTTAACAACGATGATGGATGATGATGATGATGAAAGGCAATAAGGCCGCGGTAGGTAACTTTAAGGAAGCTGCCGCCCGCGTGAGTTGGGGGTTGAGGCAGGGACGATGTTTGCGGGTGAAGTTACAGCAAGCGCGCGAGCGCGGCCTCTCAAGCAGCGAACCGGCGCTCCGGGAAGTCGATCGCGTGGGAGGAGCGAGTTCCGCCGCTCCACGTGGCCTTTCACTTCCCAAAAGTGACGCTTCGAAATGGGAAAAGGGTCTCTCGGCTCGGGAATGGATACGTGGGAATTTCGGCGGTCTACCGAGAGGCGGGACGGGTGATGTTTGGGGGGCTTCCAAAACTCTTGAACGGGTTCGCGACCGAGCACGTGCGCGTAACCGTCTCGTGGGCAGGTCGCCGAGAGTCGCGGCCGCGTTCGGGAAGGGGGGGGGGGTTAATGCGCCGAGCTGGGAAGAGTGGGTGGCCGGGATTGGAAATCGAGATGGATGGGATAGCGGGGGGGCGGGGGGGGAGCATTTTTTTCCTTCTTCCAACCACATCCCGACAATGTCTGTGGACCTCTCCGCGAGTCACGGAACTCGTGGGTCTCTGTACGAGTGTATCATCACGCTGTGGGCACACATGCAGTGTCGTGGCTGTCGAGTACTGCAGCGTGCAGGCGGCGCAACTGACACCTGGGATCCACGGGCCGGAGTTGACTCAGCCGCCTGGATACATAAAGGGAAGTTTGTGGGGCGAGGTTGATAGGCGCCCTGTATCATTAGATGCGGAGGGGGGGGGGGGAGTGCACATGCCGATTAACGCAACGCCGCTGCGCAGGAGATTCGATTTTGCTGATTGTGATATTTGAGGTCAGACTGTCAGGACCTGTGACGCGCACGTGCTGGCCAACGTTCCCGATGTCTGCATTTATCACGCCAATGTGGCAAAACAAATACGCCCAAACGCCCGGTGATGGGTGCACGGTTGTGTTTCGGTCAGCAATGGGACGATGGGCATCTCTGTCGAACCAGCAGTGGAAATTCCACGTTCCGATGACGCTGTCAGATTATCCACGGAACAACCACTGGTGAATTAATGTTGATAAAAAAGCCAAACCTAGTACTGGCCCATTCATTAGTCAATCGTGCACCAGGAAATTGCTTATTTATACTTGTTTAGAATCACGCAACGTTATACAAATATACAGCACGTTAAACTATAGCATCCCATTGAACTCCGTTGAGTCTCAAGACTGCTTTAGAATATTTCACCAACCTCCACTTCAACGTGTTGTGAACTTCATGCGAGGGAAAACTGGAATACAGCCTCTGGCCAAACCTTGGCAATTCCGTGTTTGTGAGCATACTCTCTGCACCACGCTTCCCGTGTCACTCCACAGCCCAGTGAGTGCGACCAGTCCACGTCACACATCTGCTGACCACCTTGCACTCACACCTTCTCAATCCACCACGACCAGCTCACACTGAATGGGATCTCAGCTCAGCAGGCTTGAGTTTGGTGAGCGCGTGCTATGGTGATCATCGGGGCTTGCCGCGTGTTGTAGGTGTGGGGCCGAGGTAGCAGCCAGGAGATGTGTCTGCTGAGTGTCGCGCCCTCGTCGTATAATGCGTGGTAGATGGGTTTTCTCCAGGGTCTCTGGTCTCCTCCCACACGAAGCCAAACTATCATGAATGGAGTTGAGCGAATGTTCCAATGTATCAGCAACCTCAGGCACGCGTGCCTTGAGACTCGGCGAGGCTCTACCTGGGTGAGTGGCATCGAGAGCTGGGACGATCGGTCGATGAATCCGCAATAAATTGTAATCGACTCCCCCTTGCTTGTAGTCGATTCCTCTGGCCCCTCTAAAAAAGAAAAAGACGCCCTGCCTCGAGAAGGCAGGCAACCCCCTCCAAAACACGCCCAGCGTGATAGCGGTCGATAACGCCGATGGCATCACCTAGTCCCCGCCTGCCATCTCCCGTCCAGCGGCACACGTGAGGAAGAGGGGCCTTTTTTTTCTCCTCCACTCTATGCGCGTTATCCGATCGGCTTGAGTCGGCTGATCACCGTCGCGATGATCGGTGGAGCCCAGCCCCGCCTGACGTCCATCTCTCACAGGAGTCGCCCCCCCCCCACCCCCCTGTTGTGCGCGTGTCCGCGGCGTGCCCTAGGCGTTCGTGCGCGACGCACCGGGAGCCGGCCCTCTCTTCGTGCCGACGGTCACCGACGTCGCCACGAGCCGGGAACTGCAGTGGATGGTTCAGCCGACGGTCATCGCCTCGGGGACCCGCAAGGCCCCGCACGACCCCCAGGCGCTCCCCGTGGCCTTCCCTCCCGGCTCCTGCTGCCCGGACTCGGAGCCCTACCCGCTGGGGGGGGTCCCCACACATACCCTCGCGTCCATCTCACATCTCCATCAGCAGCAGCAGCAGCACCAACACCACCAACACCACCAGCAGCAGCAGCAGCATGTGAGGCCGCATGGGAGCAACCGAGGCGGAAGGCGAAGGAGAGACGATGATGTGAGCATCAATTCGAGTCCGGAATGCTGTTCCGTAAATAATTTTGCCCACGCCACATCCATCTCATCTTATTTTGTCCTGAACCTGTTCAAAGAATTCTAACATATGTAGGGGGACAATATATAGGATTGTTATGGGTAGGAATATCTGGTACTCTAGTGGTAGTACCTTACGCCAAAAATCCCTATCCCAAGCCAAGCCCGAGCAGCGTTCAAGAAAATAGCGAGCGAGGAATAAATCCCTGATGACAATCATCGCATACACACGTCGCAAAGTGCGTCTCTTTTAACAACCCTTTGTCAATCCACTGCTGGATGAAGTGAGTTTAACACACAGGCTTTCGCGACCAATATCATCCATAATACAGGTTTTTGTTGGGTTAGATCGTGTTACATACGTGTCGTCTGATGATGCGAGTTGTATTTACTGGCGAAACGTCGTACTCAATATTGTAAATGTTGTGGATTTGCTCTCCAACACACCGGTGTGCTGGACTAGAAACGAATTGGGGTATTCAGATTACGTGACAACCCTTACTAATTGGCTGCGACAGGTGGTGACGGGTTTAACGACACATTCATATTTACGCGATCTAACCCCCCAAAAAAACCCATATTATGGAGGATCGGGAAGGCCGAACTCCACAGGGAGTGGGAAAATGCCAGGAATACGTTTAAGTATATCTCATCTCCTGTACCTGCCACCCCCTTTCCTCTTCCGTCTCCCCCCCCCCCCCCCGTTCCTCCTCCTCCCCGCAGCTGAATCCCGCGGACGCGGAGAAGCGTCGCGTGCGCAGGGAGCGGAACAAGCAGGCGGCCGCCCGCTGCCGGAACCGGCGCCAGGAGCTCACCGAGCGACTCCAGGCGGTGGGTGCAGCTCCAAGAGACCGAGAACCATCGCTCCCCCCCCCCCCACCACCATCACCCATGTAGCCTTAGCAGATCTTTGAGGCAATTGCTGTTAAGCGAGAGCAGCACCTGGGAAGGCTGAAGGGGGTGGACAGCCCAGCATCACGTCTCTCCTTTGTGGCAATGTTTAAACCGCGCACCAGGTACTCATTTGAGGTTGAGTCGACCTAGGGGAGGGCCAGAACCGGTTCAGATAATCGTCACCGGTGTTGGTGGCCATGAGGGGGAAACGAACTCGGGTCGCCGGGTTCGTAGAGCAGCGTAGCGCTAACGGCGATGCTGCCGCACACACACAGCTACCGCACACACACACACACAGCTACCGCACACACACAGCTACCGCACACACACAGCTACCGCACACACACAGCTACCGCACACACACACACAGCTACCGCAAACACACACAGCTACCGCACACACACACACACAGCTACCGCACACACACACAGCTACCGCACACAGACAGCTACCGCACACACACAGCTACACCACACACACACACAGTTACACCACACACACAGCTATCGCACACACACACACAGCTATCGCACACACTCACAGCTACCACACACACACACACAGTTACACCACACCCACACACACACACATACACCACACACACACAGCTACACTACACACACAGCTATCCCACACACACACAGCTACACACACACACACAGCTACACCACACACACACAGTTACACTACACACACACACAGCTATCGCACACACACACAGTTACACTACACACACACACAGCTATCGCACACACACAGTTACACCACACAAACACACACAGCTATCGCACACACACAGCTATCGCACACACACACAGCTATCGCACACACACACAGCTACCGCGCACACACACACAGCTACCGCACACACACACACAGCTACCGCACACACACACACAGCTACCGCACACACACACACACAGCTACCGCACACACACACACAGCTACCGCACACACACACACACAGCTACCGCACACACACACACACAGCTACCGCACACACACACACACAGCTACCGCACACACAGCCCCCACACACACAGCTACCGCACACACACACACACAGCTACCGCACACACACACACACAGCTACCGCACACACACACACACAGCTACCGCACACACAGCTACCACACACACAGCTACCGCACACACACACACAGCTACCGCACACACACACACAGCTACCACACACACACACACAGCTACCACACACAAACAGCTACCACACACACAGCTACCGCACACACACATACAGCTACCACGCGCACACACACAGCTACCGCACACACACACACACAACTACCACACACACACAACTACCCCACACACACACAGCTACCCCACGCAATGGGGTCCCAGCCGCCCCCCACAACTCAACACTGAACCCCCTCCCGACCGTCCCCCGCTCAGCCTTCTCATCACAACAACATTGTCGGACAGCGGCTGCCACTTTCCTGCAGGCCAGGTTCTGGCCCCTGTGCTAATAAAAGTATAATCTGGGCCCAACACCGGTGCCCTCCATCCACCCACCTGACGATCTCACAGGGAAGGAATGAAAGAGCGGGCTCGAAGGCTTGCGGGGTTATCTTGAGGCGCGCGTACGCTACTCGCTCTCTCTATCCAGATCCCCTTTCTTTAAAAATTAATACCCCGCTACGGATTGTAGCGCAATTACGTGGCCGACCTGCCGTGCTCCGCTCTCTCAAAACTCGCGGTTGTTGCCCCGTGCCGCGCTCTTTCATCCGCTCCTCGTCTCACCGCCCATTGTCCAGAGTGGGGGGGGGGGTGGCGATTCGCCAGCTCTACCTCCCATCTTCAGCGACGCAGCCGCGGCACGATTTTCGCCGTGGGCTCTTCTCCCCGCACCGCGGCGCTCGCTCGGTGCGACGACGGCCCCCGGTGCCCATGTTTTTGTCGAGCTCGCTCCTGAGAAGTGTTTTAATTGGCGGGGTGGTGGACGGGTGCACGGAGAGATGTTCGTGCCGGCGCCGGGCGATATGGGAGGCCCTCTCTCAGCGCAACTCGTCAGCGATGTGTTACAACAGTGTGATCTTCACAGTATGGATGGGCGGGGGGGGGTTGGTAGTAAACGTGCTCCCACTTGTCGTTCACTTAACACAACGTCAGTCGCTGTCAAGCCCAAACCCTCAGCGGAGGCGTCGGAGAAATCCACCTCCAATCGGCTGAAGTCCCTTCCTGGCAGCTAACGAACCTGGACACAGACTCGTCGGTCGCCATTCATTCCGCCACGCGCAAGGAATTTACGACAACGCGTTTCAATGTTTCTCAGGAGACGGACGAGCTGGAGGACGAGGGCGCGGGGCTCAAGTCGGAGATCGAGAGATTGAAGAAGGATAAGGAGCGACTCGAGTTCATCCTGGCCGCTCACCGCCCCGTCTGCAAGATGCCCAGCGAGGAGGAGAACGAGCGCGAGGGAATGGTCGGTGCCTCCCCGTGCCTCTCGCACCTTCTGTCCAAGCGGGAGGAGCCGTCCTCTCTGGCCCCACCGCCACCGTCCAGAAGTTTCGCTCCGGCGGCCGGGGACTGTGCCATGCAGCCCGCTCCGGAAGTGAGCATCTCCGGCAGCTACTACTTCGACCTGGAGCCGCTGAGCAGCGCCGGAGCACCGGCGTGCGCCCTCGCCTACACGGGCTACGCCGGGCAACTGGGCTACCCCGGCCATGAGGGACACGGCGGCTACGCGGGATACGCCAGCTGCCCCGTGGCGTCGGTGGCCGTGGGCGGCGGCGAGCGCGGATCGCAGGAGGCGGGGAGGATGCGCCTCGTATGTCGGGAGCCTGCGCCACCTGAGCGTGAGCAGCAGTGGCGGAGGCAGCGGCGGGGGGCAGGAGTCGCCCGACTCACTTGGGTCCCCCACGCTGCTCGCGCTATGAGACCCTCCCCCCCCACCGAGAGTGTAAAGCGGAGAAAAAGTGAAAACGTGGGGAGTTGGGGCGCAGTCAGTGGCGCTGCTGTCAGAGTTGCGGGCGGTACAACCGCACATGGACTCACGGGGTAGGAGGAGCCCAGGCACTGGGTTACCAAGATGGGAGGGGGGGAGCTGGACAGGGGAAGCCCCCGTTTCAATCGCTGGAACACGGCCCATGCCAACCACTCGGCCACTGTGGTGCTTGCATCAGGCTTAGAAGTGACGCGAATACTAATGGCTGGTTGGTGAGCATTAAGGGTGGCTCCAGTTTTGTCTTGGCTCGTGTGCTCTTAACAACGTACCCTGCCAACTCTTTGCGGCGTCCGGCCTTTTCAATGTTTGTTCGCTGCGTACGTTTGGTGCCTACGGCACCGTGGAGAGCGGCACGCGTGAGGATGGTCACAGCCTCGCGATCGCGCAACACCGCGGTGACTCGTATTTATTTATTTATTCCTCGTAGGTTATCTCTATTTATTTGTACGTTTGGTGTCAACGTTCGGCTCGTTTTAAAAACAAATGTTTTAAAAACATGAAGCTAGTTTTACGAACTATTTATTTTGTTAAAAAAAAAAATCTTTTTGCACTGAGTCGTCGACTGAAGTATGCGGTGCGTGGGAATCATTTTTGGAATTGTTGGGAGTGGGGGACCAGTGGCCATGTCGGCACACATCGTGTCGCCGAGAGGGTCCAGAAAGGATATTCGGCGAGGGCACAACTTGTGGCCTACCGCCCCCTGGCACCCCACCCTGGTTTCAAGAAGATTCGTGAAAAAGCAAGTCCCTAAGTCACCTGTACTGCGACGCCATCGCTAACGGGGTGAGGCGGCTGCCCGAGGAGGGCAGCCGAGTCCAGGGATGGGAAAACGCAAACGAAGGCAGCTCTTAATATCGTGTGCATACAACTGTGAAACGTAGTTTATCTTAATGTAATAACGCAGTGGTGTCTTGACCAGCCCGCGTGCGGCCAGACAATCAGTTGTGGTGCCATACTTTAGGACCAAGGGCTTTATACGACTTTCGCCGGGATTATAAACGAGCGAATGGGCGTAGTAGCTTGGCGGAGCACTTTTGCTCGTACCGCTAAATAATTTATTGAATTGTACGTTATTTTTGCCGGCATGGTGCCAACAGTGGCATTTTGAAACCGAGTCGACGAAGTCCTTGACACAAAGGGTTGGCGCAATGTGCTTTCCGGTACGTGGAAACCCAAGTCACCACTGTGATGTGAAACCCACGTTGGCATCGTATGGCAACGGTTTTAACACGCGAACGCGCTTACGAGACGAACGCCAAGTGACACTGCCAGTTTGCAGGCATTCCACTCGTCATGTTTACAGATATTTTTGTACATTTTGTGAGCAAACGTAGATCGTTCACCTCCTCAGCAGGCAGCCTGGAGTCGTGGTAATCACTCGCCGAGTGGCCACTGCCATTCCACTGACAAAAGATACGTAAGAGAAGTGCTCTCCGTTTAACAGTGATTGTTTACCTTCAACAAAGTCAGCTATAGGACATTATTTTCATACAAAAGGAACACGTAATGTATTTCTAAAGGCGAGACTTTTACCTTTGAATATATATAATTGCCCCTACTTGTAAGTTTGCAATAATGCACTTGGTCTCCAACGAGAAAATATACTTGGCTTCACAACATGCAAATAGCATACCATAAAATATCCACATATTTACATTTTGTTGAAATGTGTGCCACTGTAGTTTTTTACATCAGTGCCTGGGGTGGCCAGAAGTTGGTATCAAATCAACTCTTCATCATCATCGTAGATGATAAAAATAATAAATAAAAACCCATACACCCAGACATCATGCAGCTACTAGAGCCATCCTGGATTCAAAACACGTTGGGTATACACTTTATCGTAGGGACGTGGAATAACATACTAGCACTTGAACACAGACGCTTGACATTACCCGACATAGGAATCGCAGCCAGAAATGAGTGCAACCCTGCCAACTCAAGTGGCGTACGGACCCCAGGATCATTGTGTTCAGCAAAAGTAGGCCTACATTATGTGTGTCGGTATTGTTAGGGCGCGAGCACGGTCACCGACATGGTCACGATCGCTCACGTGACGTTGAAGCGCAGTTGTTTACGCGTGGACGCAATCGCTCGGCGTGCTTCGGTCCTGCTTCCTGCGTCGGCGCTGTGCGACGAAAAATAAACACGGGCGCATTTATCGGATTCCGCGGCGCACGCGAAATGTGGTTCACTCGATGTGGATCGCGAATTTAGTTTTGAACAGTGAGGCCCATGTGGCGTGTATAGCGTGACCGGGTGGTGTGTTTCCGGACTGAGGCTGCAGTTGGCACCGAGTTGTAGGCCGTGAGTTGAAGGAGCGTTCGGGCGAGGGCAGGGGTCGGCAAGCAAAGATAACAAGAGCAGCCATTCTTTTCGAATTTGCTAAAAAACTATATTTCAAGAGCAGCAACGCAGGTGAATAACATCACGAAGAAGCGGTCCTTAAAGAGCCGCATGCGGCTCTGGATCTGCAGGTTGCCCACCCCTGGGCAAGGGTATTAAATCCGATTGGGCCAGAAGCCACTATCTGCCTCGATGTGTTTCCCTGCATGGAGAGTGTTAGATCTTAGTTTGGAAAGCAAAGCTTTGTATGCCGATGTGTAGTTTACAAAAATAAAATATATGCAGGTTCTGGTGAATTTCGAAAAGATATGGTAATTTGCATGGCGATCTTGTGTGAGTTACTGCATGCCTCTATTTTCTTAAAAAATTAAACCATTTTACAAACTGACGGAAATCGAGAGTTAATATATAAAACATAGGTATATTTTTGATGTAATATTTACGTACTGAAATATTTATTTTCATAAGAGTAGGCAGTGTGTGCGAGTTTTACGACGTTTGTCAACGTTTTGTTTTCCATGAAAACGTAACGACGCCTAGGCGTTCAATGTTTGCCAATTTGTACACATTTATTTTTTTATACCATCGTTAAGAGACTTAGTAAATGTAAAAAAAAGGTACGTAATAAAATATTAAACCCAACAGTCCGTGTGTTATGTGATAAATACGAGTGCTGAATACGAAACTGATTTAAAGCCTGCGGACCAAATCACCTGGAATGCCGCACACAATCTCACCACATCTCGGAAGCCAAGCAGGAATTGAGCCTGGATAATGCTTGGATGCGTGACCACTGGTCACACATTTGCCACACATAAAACATGCATCATAGCCCGTTGCCGGCCTACGTTGGTAATGATTTATAGAGCGTAATCCATGCCCGTTGCGTCTCAAGACACTAAGCAGAGAGCATGCAGCAAAAATCCAATGCACCATCCTACCACGTCCTCACTCCCCACCTTCCCCAGCCCCCACTCACCAGCAGCCCAAACACTTCTGATGCCCACGTTAAAACGTAAAGCCTTTCGTCAATCCACTGCTGAATGAAGGCCATAGCAAGTGCTCTAAATAGGCTCAAACAACACTGACCTGCACGGCAGGGGGGAGATCCTCGTCCAGGAGTGGTTTGGCAAAACATCTGTACAATTGTGCTCATTGGGAGCACATTTAAAATTGAGTTACACCGCCACCTGCTGCCTGCTATGTTACAATACCCTCACCGTCCCTGGAGCGAAAGTTTTTGTTGGCCGCACAAAGTCCGGCGCGTGGAGCACAGAGCCTCAAGGGTCGCACGGGTGACCTCCCGATCGAGGGCGACTTCCCAGATATGTATTGGCCAGACCAAGGTCGGGCAGGGTCTGAGCGTTAGAACAGTGGTGACATCGTGGCGCTGGGCGACACCGCAAATCCGGTGGACATCAACAAGTCAATGATTATAATTAGGTACCACTCGAGGCTTTGTGCACCACAACATAAAAGTTTCATTGCTTAAACGTGTCGTTTGAGATTAAAACATTACTTGTTCTTTAATAAATCACGTCAAGATGAAATGTGAAATGGCACCATACAAAATTTGGATAAGGTGATAATTCTTAAAGCTTTATTTGCGACTTAGATCAAGTATAGATTTTCATCTTTCAGAAATGCCTCTTTCAATAAAATGTACACAAATGTCAGCCACGTACAAAACAACTTGTTCACAAATTGCAGAAAAAACTGCAAGACACTCAATAATTTACACATATAAACAAACAAGTCCTTGAAAAGTTTTAGAATTATGCAAAGTACAAATTCTATACAATAAAGGATTTGCATATACCAAAGTGGTCAAATTCCCATGGGCAATTGCAGTGTATTTTCACCAGGTACCTTTCATCCTTTTGAACAGTGACACCCTTCCTTGAATTTGATTTAATTTAGGAAAAAAAAGACACCCAACATTAGATCTTGTTGAATGCAAAAATATGATCAATGCACAAAGCCTATTGAAAACGGGACTTGACATTTGGCATAATAAAAATAAAATGTCACCTATTAAACATTATCTTGCATTTATTTCCCATGGCTGTCTTGGTTGTAAATCAAACACTTTTATACAGCAATAAAATATAAGCATATGAAAATATTATCCTTTCAACGGTTCCAACTTTAAAGCCATCAAAAGAATCATTTCCGGGGTACATGTTATATTTAACGGTGACGTTGATGGCTCTTTTACACAAGAAATGAAATTACACCAGCAGCAAAATAATGATGTCAGTTATAAACACCTTCCTTGGTGGTTTAGCTAACAACTTCTAGTACAGTACAGTAATTTAAGAAAATCTAAAACACTGCTGGGACCCACTCAAAGCTTCACACGGCTCCTGGAACGGCCAAAGGCGTTTCGCGTGTACCGTCGCAGGCCTGTGCGGGCCGTTGACGTCTCCTCGGCACTCTGCAGTGACGGCTCTGTCTCCTGCAGCCCCCTCTTCCGCACCGAGGACTTCGGGAATGCGGGCGTGACGGGCGGAGAGATCAAGTTCAGCTCGATCTCAGGAGGCACCCACTCTGTCTTCCTGTGGAAAGCACGAGGCTTTTAAGCTAGGTTGCTCAACATTCGACCCATCATATGCGGCACATGAAATAGCAGAACATCTTAAAATGCAGTTGTTGCATGCTGAAATTTCCATTTTTCTATTTTTATTTCCACACTGTATTTGGTGCAAACTTCAGAAAACACTTTATTACTGCCCAAATATTTTTTGGGGAACTTACAGTAAAAAAAAACGTGGAACTGCATGCAGGAAGCAATTGCCGTGGCCAAAGACCGGAAAGAGTGGAAACATTTAATCCGACCTCATCGACCGCCTGTTGACAACTGATAAGAGGTTAAACGAAGGATGGGCATCCAAGCTGAGTCAAGATTCTACTCGCCAATTTAAAGAGCGTAAATCAGGCAGCGTAAGTCTCCAGAACATCAGAGATTAACTCTTGTCGGAAGGACTACTCAAGACAGACAGGATGTGCTCTGGTCGGAGCTATTTTTCCATTCCAGATATTCTTGAAGAGCCAGTCTACGGGACGGAGTTCATTGCTCAATAGAGGACGGAGGGAGCACGTCATGGCTGCGAAAAGACTGAGTACCTTTTGGCTTTCTTGGCTTTCCTTGGAAGGCGTTGCCGTACTGTTGCCTCTTGCACAGGAATGGGCTCATCGTCCTCCATGGGTGGCATCTTCATCTCCACTATTTCTTCGGTGGCCACCTGAGGTAGGGGACAATTTCCATAGCACATACGTAACGTACATTGCACCTCTTGTAGTTTGCAAGTAATGTACACACAACGTAATGAAAGTCTCCCAGCAACTCATAAACGCTCCTATCAACCATGATACAAGGGCATGGAACAATTGATTAAAATATTTTTAAAAAATTCTATGCAAAATAATGATTTGTGATTTTCGGGAATGTTACGGAAATGATAAGCAAATATTACATTCATACTTATTTTGCGATTTAGACTGTAAACACAACAAAACATCATTCATTCTTGAATCAATCGTGAGCTCAAAGTGTCAAAAAAATACTAAACCGTCTAGAATAGGGGGATTTTTAGATGCTTAAAAACAAGCGCATGCTGCAACTATGTGCTTTATTAAGGCCTCATCACATACGTACATCCACATGCGGCTGTTTTTCAGGGGTCCGTAACTTCTTGTATTGTCGCATCCGAGTATTTGGTGAGGAAAAGCCGTAGTCCACCACAGTGGGCCTTTCGGGCAGCTCGATTTGTGACTTGTCGAGCAACGTGGCTGAAACAAAAAGCCACCAATCGGAATACGGAAATAAAGTTATACATTTTCAAATAAACAAATAAAAGATCGCCTTGCTTTGTGGAACAATTCCTCCATAACACTTGGTGGAGGGGGTAAAAGGATTATAGGTGTTGTTGATTGCAGCCTCACCCTTCTCGATGCATCTGGTGGATCGTCTGATGGGAGGCGAGAACTCGAAGGGCTCCCGGCTCACGGTACCGGGTGCCGCCGGCGTGTCGGCGACACCAAGGGACACGTCCACTGCCTTTGCGCTCTTGCGGCCGCGCCTTGGCTTCGGCACAGTCTCCCCGCCGTCTGCGTTCTCCGGGACGGGCGAGATGGCAGGCAAGGTGCGGCTGCTCTTGTTCGCCGAGCGGAGGGCCCGCTTCGACTCAAAGCGCGTGGCGCTGGCCGAGCCGAGGGGAGTTGCCGGTTGCACCTCGGGTTTGGTGGCATCATCCGCTAGGGTTTCGGCCAACACCTCCGGCAGGGGCCTGAGGTTTGAGCGTCTGCCGCGTCGCAGCGCCCGCGAGGGCGTCACCGGAGTTTCGGTGGTCGGGTGGTCTTCGACCGATTCGACCAGAGACGCCTGCAGGAGCCTCCGACTGCGACGCTTTCTGGGTACGTCGCTTGCAGCCAAATCGGGAGCGAAATCTGTTTCGGAGGTTTTTGTCAACGTCAAAGCTTCCGGCTGCTCGGCGATAGCTGGCACGGAGTCGTATGCAGCCGTGCTGTCCACGTGACCCTCACGCTCGTTGGCAGTGGTCACGTTCCTGCCCTTGCGGCGAAGACTCGTCCTCACACTTCCTTGATTATCACCAGACAGAGACAATTGTTCAGAATAATCTTTTGCACCTGAAACACGCTTGGCAGTTGACGTTTTATTGGCTGATCTTCGCGTGGGAGTTTGTTTATCTTTAACTTGCGTGTAATTGGATTTGTTCTTTGCTCTGGTATTTGACTGTTTCTTTAGAGAAACCTCCACAGATGAGGTAGATTCCTCCAAATCTGGCAGTGCTAGGTCTGCATCATCATCATCAAACTCCTCGCCTTCACATGCCTCGCTCACACTTGTGTTTGTGGTAGCAGCCTCTTCCTTTTCCTTCGACTCTTCAGCTGCAACTTCCTTCACCCGAGGCGCTCTGATGTCACAAGTAGAGTTGGTCTCGGATGTGTCAGCAATGTCCGGTAACGTCTCTTGCCTCTCTTTGTCCATCTCTGGAACATCCACCTCAACTTTTTGTGCATCCTGGACAAAAAAATGTACCCGTCTATGAGTCAAGTGTTGAACACTAAATTTAAAACATTTTAATTATGTATGTGCATTGAACTTCTTTCGCACCGTATGTAGCAAAACAACAAATTAACATCACCAAAATTAACATCAAAACAACAAATTAACATCACCAACACAAAGTACGTAGGAGGGAACATGCGATTAAACATGAACGCTAATGTGCAACATTCCACGTCAGTTGTGTTCAAATGGATTCATACCTCGACTCGAACCTCCACGGGAAACGGAGCCATGGTGGACACAGGTTCAGGCCCTGTCAGAGGCTCCACCTCTTCTTCTTCAACCACTGCAGCAGCGGGGAGGGCCAGGTCAATGGCTTCTTCCCTCACCTCCAGCACTTCCACTGCGTGACTTCGATTTTCATGGCCAGCAGAGGACACAGCTATTTGAGATAAAAAGCGCGTTTAAACGATGGGCGAAACGATAACAATTGGAATCATCAGATCGTTCCATTGAAACTGCAGGGAAATTCCAAACGCTCCTTCCAAAGTAAAAAAAGATAATTTGTGTAATAATCAAAATATTCACATATTGATACTTCACCCACAATGAAAAGTATTCTTCACTTGACCAACTACAGAATTGAAAAATGCTGCACAACTAAAAATTACGAAACTTGTGTTTGTGATCCGCAAACGTCAGTTAAAAATACAAGCGATGTGTCTTGTGCCGTGTACATGCCTTGGGTTGTAGCGCTTTTGGAAATCGCAAGTATGGCTTCTCTGTGGCAGGGTTTGAAAGTGATCTCACTATCGTCATCATTTTGCTCAGCCTCCTCCTCTTGCTCAGACTCCTCCTCCTGCTCTTGTTCTGACTTCTCATCCTCATCATCCTCATTATCCTCATCATCCTCATCATCCTCCTCATCTTCCTCATCCTCCTCATCCTCCTCATCTTCCTCATCCTCCTCATCCTCCGAGGAGACGTAGCAGAGCTTGGACAAATCCACTGTGGAGTTGGCATCGTTCGACCTTGACAAACAACAGAAAGATTAACTTCCTTGAAAACGCATTTTGATTATTAAGCAACAGGAGCAAGAGAAACCGCATAGTCTCAACATAATCAGCACACGGAAACAGTCGCCAGATTCCTGCAGAGACGGGGCTTGACGTAAGGGCTGCTTACGAGTCGTCGGGTGAATCGCCCTCCTTGTTCGTTAATGCAGAGACGAGGTTCTCAGGGTCTGTGGCCACGGTTGACTGCGGCACTTCTGCCTCAATCTCAACCATTGCCAGTGCGTCCTTCTGCGGCCCGTTGCTGATAGGAACATCTGCGGTTCAAAGACAATGGCGTCAATCGACACCGTACAATGAAGACCGGACAATATTCTGTGAATGTAAACATCGTACGTCGCTTTAGAGGTGCTTACAGATAACATAAGTCCTTTTAGGTTGCTGTATTTAAAAACAAATTTAGGCTTTCGATCGTGTCTTTCAGTTATACTTGGCCAACAAATATAAATGATAGTGAGGGTATGCCTCACTTTCAGTAACCGACAAGGATTAACCTGAGAACACATCAAAATGGGCAGTGTTTTCACAAAGCATTGAACGCTCATACATTCACCCCAATTGTTAGGCACCAATATATTAATCATTGTGTGAAATATGCATTATTCCTGATTTATTGAAATTCAAAAAAATATGAGCACAAGTACAAAGTTACGCGAGCGAAACAAATGAAACTGTGCAAACCAGACAGAACAAATGAGAAACAAAAACAACGGGGACTTCTGAGTACCGACTCCTGATTCGAATTGAGCACACACCATCGTCGTAAGACGTAAGGTCCATGGGCTCCTCTGCGGACATGTATTCCTCCGTAGGCTCGTCCACACTCGACTCTGGTGCATTCACGTTCAAATCGTCCGAGTCCTCCAGCTCGAGGATAATGGAGTCTTCTGGGGCGTTGATACTTGACGTCTCTGCCACCGTGCCACTTGTGTTCTCGTACTCCGCAAGGCTCTTGTCCTCCGGCTCCACGGCAGTTGAAACCTTGGGGGTTGCGGGACTTCGATCGCCGGCGTGCTCGTCCCTCCTGCCGGCGGCCGCTTCCTGGACGACGGAATGCTGCCCGTGGCCTGCTTCCTCTTCGTCGTCCTCCTCCTCCTCCGACTTCTCCGTCTCGTGAAGCCTCTCTTGAGGTGAATGTCTTTCCATCACAGGCTCTTCCCTCTGCAAAGTGCTTGCACTGCCACAGCGCATTGCGACACTTGGTGAATTAACGATGCTGAATATAGAGTAGCTGCTACAATTAACTAGTCTTATGTTTGAAGGACCAGTCTCAGGCTTGAACAAAGGTCTTTACAACGGTGTTTATTTATTAAAGTTTGAGAGGCAAACGTCAGCTCTTCACACGTATCGACATGTGAATAATAGGAAGATTATGCCATATTCCCCAATAGCTGAGGGTTTATGGTTTAATATTGCAAAATGCATTTGTGTGCATACAGGAACAGACATCAAGGCTGGATACAAGCTTAATACGTAATAATGAAAACACAACAGAACATGTAATAATAAGAATGATGCGTAAAAAAAAGGTGAAGTTAGATTTATGACTAATGTGCAAATTGTTGAGGTATGCCAAGATGTGTATTTGTCTGACAATTCCTAAGAATTTTAAGATAAGTTAAGAGCACTTTGTCTACTGCTGGATGAAGGCCTCCCCACGCCTTTTGGTCAGTGGGGGTTGCTTGACCATACGTCACAACGTTGGTCAATGCGGGTTGAAGGGGTGAGGGCAAAACGGTTCTGTGGTTCAGTTATCGATCGCCACTGGTGTGTCAGCCGTGGCTGGGAATCCATCACCCATGTAGCCGGGTTCATCATAGTGCACCGCCCATAATACAGGTTTTTTGGGTTAGATCACGTAAATATATATAAATGTGCCATTAAACCCGCCACCACCCGACACAGCCAATTAGTAAGGTTTGTCACGTAAACAGAACATGCCAATTCGTTACTAGTACAGCACACCGGTGTGTTGGAGAGCAAAGCCACAACATTTACAATCCGAGTACGACATTTCAACAGCAATTACACCTAGCTTCATCAGGCGACAGCCAGATTTGGCTGACAATCCTTACTAATTGGCTGTCATGTGGAGGTGGGTTCAACGACACATTTATATATTTACTCAATCTAACCCAAAAAACCTGTATTATGGATATTGGTCGCGAAAGCCTACGTGATAAAACTGATAGTGCAACGTGTGAACCGCGGCACCCATGACAAACTTACCCGAGGCCATTCTCACTCGTGCCAAAGCTTCCCCTTCCTTGATCTCCGAGCGTGGTGGAGAATCTGAAGTGAGAGCTGGAGATTCGGTCCAGGATGCTGGGTCTGCTGGTGATGTCTCCAAGCAGCCTGGTGTTGCGGTCTCCCACGTCAGCAGAGGAGATTCTGCTGCTGCTCAATGCCAAGTGAGAAACCCTCTCCAGGCCAGGTGCAGGTACTGGGAAGGACGCCCTGGAGGCAGCGGCGCTTGTACTTGGTTTCTGTTGACCATCCGCTGGCGCAGCCTGCGCCCGAGCAGACGGGAGCAAAAACTGATTAATCTCGATTGTGACAAATGAAAAAACATCTCAGACGATGATGCTGATGACGAAATCGCCCTGAATTCACAAGATCAGATTTCAGAAGCTAAGCAGGCTGGAGACAGGTTAGTACTTGAAAAGGAGACTGCCGGAAGGCTTGGGTTGTGAGGAGGAAATAAGATGGCGGCACAGCAATAGTATTAAATCTGTGTGGAGATTTGAATGTTACCTTCTCATACACTTGCCCTTCCACATGAAGCCACACGCACACTTCTAGCACAGTCCACACATCCGAAGGCAGCAGCAGCACCCTCCTGACACTCTAAATAAAGACTCGGCGAGGCTTTCCTATGCAGAGTGCTGTCGCCTTGTGCGACGCGGGGGCTGCGTGGGTGCAGTGGTTCTGCCGTACCACGTCCGTGGCTGTGGGGGCCTTGTCCACCAGGCTGAAGGAGATCCTCGAGCGGTGCAGCAGGGAGGCAGGAGGCACCTCGGACGCGGCGAGCGTAGCGCGTAGGCGGCTGCGCAGGATGGAGTGCGGCGTGAAGCCGTCCACCTCTGCGCGGGTGGCCATGGATCTCGCTCGCTGTAACGGCGCAGCACACACACAACTCACTTCTGAATGTGATCTCAACAGTACAGCTGAAGACGACGTAGTGTACACACGCTCACAAGCAGAAAGCGGTGGTCTCCTGATTTGAACTTGAAACCTTCCGAATGCGATTCGTGTCCTTGAACCACTGCACCAACACCAGGTCAGATATTTTTTAAAAAGACAATATAATTTTACCGCAAGAAAATTCGACTCAATAATTTCCTTGATAAACAAAAATTGCGCACGCCTCCACATGTACGCGAACACGTGCGTGAGGTGTCATTATATACATTCCTGTGACATAAACGCAAGTGGTCAGTTTGCTTGGTGGAGGCATCGCGGCTACCTTGAGGATAGGTGGGGTCTGCAGCAGTTCACGGGCACTGCTGCTGCTGGTGGCGGCGGTGGCCTGCTGGCCGGTGCCCGGGCTGGTGAGCCGACGAGACAACAACCTCCCCAACCTCATCGCTGAACTCCAGCCAACAGCAGGCGACACCAGCTGGGGAGCTGGCGAACGCTCAGGGGTCTTGCGAGATGGCGTCGCCATGGGGCTCGGCGCCACTATGGTGCGCTGCAACCTATATTTTCCAAATACACAGGAACACAATGTCCAGGAAAAATAAAAAATCAAACAATATCTGTATTGACAGCAAAACACAGGCATATTGGCAACCGAGGGTAACGCACATCATACAATTGCATAATCCCCGGGCTGTAGCTCGATATAATGTTTAAGCACCTGTACTTTAGCCAAGGTCGGCTTGCACTTTTGAGGATTAAGGTCCTGCTGCTGCAGTAAAAATTGCCGCTCTAAATCACCCGTGTTGACAACGTAAACTCACAATGATTGTCCCCCCCTGCCTAATCAGCAGTCCCAGAACGATCATAAGGATTTAATCCAAACTTTACCACCGAGCTGTCGCAATGCACCTGTGTACACTCACCTGGCCTCCATTGTGCTTTTTCGCTGAATGGGTGTGTCCAGAAACACATCCAGCTCATTGCTCTCCACACCTCCACCTTCTGTTTCTCTGCAGAAAAGAAGTATATTGTTATTGAACAATGATTCTACATTTCACAGTTTAACCACGAAAATAGCAATGTAATGTATTTAGCCAGCAAAGCTTCACACCGAGGGGCATGGGTTTTGCATTTGAATGTTGCCTAATTTATTTTTAAGGAGAGTTTTGAGTGTAGGAGGAAAGTGGAGTACCTGGAGAAAACCCATCCTTGTGTGGGGATAACACATCGGTCTTCGAAGACAGGTTTGCAAATACCCACTTGCTGTACTGCCACCTCCTGGACAGCTGGAAGTATGACTGGTTTGGATTTCCACAAATTTGTATAATTTATAAATCTTCATTTCCCAAGTGCCGGCATATCGGAGTGTGCCACTATGTCTGGTTTAACAATATAATATCAAAGGCAATACTAGTTTTCTTAAAATTTCAAACTCTGAATGCTCCATAGAAGCTGTACCAGTTAACGACAGATCAGGGGTAGAGAAACTTATTCTTACCGAGGGCAGAATAAGGCTTTCAAATACCTTTCACGGTAAAACACACAAACCATTCACTTCTGACAGTGAACGAGCATGCTAAAATGAGTGCAGCAAAGACACCTGTTATAGTTGTGCGAGTCATTGCTAAGTGGTAGGCTTGGTGTGCGCAGGTCATAGCAAACAATAGCGCCAAAGGGTGGGGGGGGGGGTTCCCCGGCCCTGCTGTAGATACACGTGGCATCATCCAGAGAGCGTAGACGTGGCCAAGGTGCGAGCTGCAGACATCCCACCTGGTTGGGGTGCTCCCACCCGCGTCGCCCTCGGCGTCGCCCCCCGTTGTGTGCACCTCCCGCATCTTGCGCAGCAGAGCGCCGAGGAATGTGGCGCGCGACATCACCTGCCCGCCCGTCCGGTGCACCACGGTCGAGAGGGGCTTTGGCACATCCTCTGCAAAAAAAAAACGATTGTCACGCAAAGGATTTATTCTCAAGCACCACTCATTTTACGACGAGCACATAATCAATATATACAACACACCACACCTCCGATTAGCACGGTTGGCTAAGTACAGTGCGAAAGAAGTTCAACATACATACATACATGCCAGGGTTTTGCATAGAACTAGTGATAAGTGTCATTAAATTACCATCCCAATTGTATGCCATACCATGTGAGTAATTTTCAGCAATGGGATGTTTGGCCGATACCAGCTACATTGTGTTTTCTTGTGACTCGTTCAAATTCATCTTGCGCGAGCACAACGTGTATAAACATTCGCCCCGCGTGTATAAAAAGTGAAGACAAGCAATGCATTGACCACCACGAGTGCTGTGCTGCAGGAGGTGGTAGGGCCGCGGTCGCTCGGAGAAGGCCAGGCGGCGCGTCACGCGCGGCAGAATCTTGCTGCACTGCTCCAGCATCAGCTGCCGCACGGCCACCCGCTCCCGCACGCGTGGGTCCCGCTCGCCCTACCCCAAGTGAAAAGCAAGGAAGCAAATTCACGAGTGTGCACGCATTCTGACACTTGCCAACATTTGTTCTCGAAATATTTAAGTACCGATAATAATACATCCCCTAACCGCAAGAGAGGACGTTACGTGGCGCACGATGTGTGACATCGAGAGCGGAGGCAGGGGCATGGCATTGTGACGTGATCGCCTTTGTTGACAACACTTTGATCTATTTGGCGAGTTTTCAATCGGTTAAGTACCCAATAACGGCACAAATTGTAACTAAAGTTACATGTGCAATGGATCATCTTTATGAGAGTTATCGTGACCCCCGTTACAGACCGACAGAGCGAACGCATTAATGTTTGCGACCTGAGTTTGTAAAGCTTAAAAAATTAGACGACGATTGGTGTTGCAGGTAAACCATTTTGAATCGGTCCACATAGACCACCACCGCTTCGTCCCAAGTGAAACTCACGGGCTGGACGCCTGGCATGCCGTGCCCGAGGCGCAGGGCGGCGAGGTAGTTGGCGTGCTCCAGGTGGTGGACCAGGAGCAGCTCCTTGCCCAGCGGGTGCTCGCTGCTGTCCAGAAAATGCTCCAGCACCTCCTGCCAAACGCACAATCCGATCGTTTGGAACGCGTTTCTCAAGGTGTGGATTGTAACCGAGGGGGAGTTCTCCCCGTTATCATTCGAGGTGTTGCAACTCAAGAAAACCTGTCATCATTAAAATGGAAACACGTTGGTTTAACCAAACTAATAAAATAACGTCAGAAACACGTATAGACATCTTAATACCACTTTTCCTGCTGCGGTCGGTCACCAAGACAATACCCCCCCCCCCCCCCTTCCTTACACCGCTGCTGCTCCGACCAACTCCTGCTGCAGTCAGATGTCAACACAACATAATGCCCCTCATCTGGACCCCCCCCCCCCCCCATAGCTGATCATTATCTTCAGCCATTATCAATCCACCGCTGCGTGATGGTCTTCTGAAGTCGTCGACAACTCTTGGTCTTGCGTTGCAAAAATCCTTCAAGTAACTGCACATGAGCGCATTTCATCACTCTGGTAAATGTCCACGTAAGTATGAATCCTGATCTCACCGTCATGCCATCATCCCTTTATCATCCTTATTAAATACAATACACTAAGCTCAGACTTACAGGGGTGGGTGATCAGAGCAGAACTCCTGGCTTAGAATATCTGAATGTAAACATCTGGACACTGGCTTCAGGATTTTAGAGGCTCACCTGCTCAGCTGGGGAGAAAGGCAGGCGCAGCACCTGATCCATGAGGCCGCCCTCCAGGCATGTTGAGAAGAAATGCTGCAGCAGCTCGCCGGCTGAGTCTCTGTGGACGTGCCTTTGCAGCAAGTTCCATGCCTCCAGCACGCACCTGGGGAATGGCAGCAGCAGCAGCAGTCAAAAACATTCCATGTTTCCATGTGCCCCAGCTGCAGTACCAGAAACATCGTAGATTCACATAGATTCAGACATTAGGTACGGTCTTCTTGGTTCTTTCGGTAAAGTCATGTAGAAGGGAAATAATAAAATAATAAAAATAAAACATAATAAAATACAATTCTCACAATGTTTCGGCCACAACGCAAGCAGCCGTCCTCAGGTGAAGAACAGGTCTGTCGGATAATTGTATTTTATTATGCTTTCTTTTCATTATTTTATTATTTCCCTTCTACGTGACTTTACCGAAAGAACCAAGAAGATGAATCCCTGCAGTCACGAAAGCTTTAAATCGAAAATTAGGTACGGTATTACGACACCGCTGCGGCAAGCACGCGGGCGGCCCAAGCGAGCACCTGTTTGCGAGGAGGATGGTGATGTGAAGCAGAACGTCGGTCGTGCCGCTGACGGGGGGCTGCAGCTGATAGAGGTAGCGCAGGGCGAGGGATACCTCGCGCTGGCTCAGCAGCGCATGCAACGCCCGCTCGTGCTGCCACGGTTTGAGGGGGTTCCGGCAGCCCGGGTGGGAGAGGGCATCCAGCCCAGCCTGGCATGCAACAGCACAAACAATGCACGCTTTCTTAAGACAAACACGGCTAACTAACGTTTCTGATGACATGACTTTTCTGGTATCAGTGCCAACCGTGTTAGTTACATTTCCTTCAAATTGCAAAGCCAATATAAAATTCACACAATCCACAGTAACTGCATTCGTTTGCAATTAAAGTATGCTTCTATTTTTAAATCACACACAAACTTATAAGCAATCTATACTAAACTCATGAAACCGTATAAACGATCTTGGACACTGCAGTCAGTGAACCGTAACTTTTTGGCATCAGCCCATCTGCTGGTGACAGCGCTCTTTGCAACACGTGCTTAAACGTTGTGGAACCATTTTCCTTTAGATTTGGTTATGCATTGTGGTCTAATTTTATATCAAGCCAAAAACAAACATTGTCAAGACATTTTAATCAGAGTAGATATAGTTTACAATTCGTTTAACACGTAGGCTTTCGTGACCAATATTATCCATAAGAGTTTTTTTTGGCTTCGATCGCGTAAATATAAATGTCGTTAAACCCACAACAGCCAATTAGTAAGGGTTGTCATGTAAAAAACACGCCAATCCGCTACTAGTACAGCACACCAGTGTGTTGGAGAGTTGTAATAATTGGCGAAACACCGTATTCAAATTGTAAATGTTGTGGATTTACTCTCCAGCACACCGGTATGTTGTACTAGTAACGAATCGGCATGTTCTGTTTACATGACAAACCTTACTAATTGGCTGTGTCGGGTGATGGCGGGTTTAACGACATAAATATTTACACGATCTAACCCCTAAAAAAAACTATATTATGGATGGTTTACAATTCTAGTAATTTGTTGCATACTACTCCTGGATGAATTTACATGAGTGGGCGAGCAGTGAGAGCTAAAAGTGGTATGAAGGAAGTACGATTAGGTACAACAAAATGCGCAATATAAACACGATTTATTTGTTGTGATATTTAAACAGCCATTGAAACGTTGAAATATGCGACCACTAACAGGAATTCAATGCACACTTGTATTTGGATGAGATTGTGAGCTGAGAAAGAATGCTGAATGGCACACAAAAATAAATTCCCAAGCACTACGTGCATTCTACAACCATAATGGTGAATACATACTTCTTGCTCGGCACAATGATTCACGACACCAGCGAATCAATTAAATGCCATGCTTAAGGGTCACGATTAATTCAAGAATAAATTACCCTGATCTCATTTGCATTCTCTGCCTTATACATTCTGTTTCATCCGTATAATCTCAGTTACAATTACACAAAGTTAACAATTATATATTTGCAATTCGCACAAACCAATAAATCCTTATGTGTATGACTCAACGTAATAACGATGCAGACAAGAAATGATTACGTTGCACGATTCAAAGCAAATCACTATTTACGTGACACATCCAATGCATTTATTTTGATCTCAGCAATCGGTATTCTGCAAACGGTTACACGCACGGTCCTCGCACAATGCGCCACGCAGCCTCACCTGGAAGTCCTTGTGGTCGAGGAGCCAGTACGCGTGCACAAGGCGCAAGCGGTCGAGGGGCAGCCCCATGGAGGCCGGGAAGGACTCGAGCGTGGGGCCACTCCGCTCCTGCCCCGAGTGCTGCACGTCCAAGAGCAGGTACGTCACCTAGTCCGCGGCGCAATTGCGTCAAGGTCCTACACGTGAGCTGTTGCGACGAGTGGCGTCGTGCGACCGAAGGGCCAGGCATTGAGAAAGATATGAAACCAATCCCCATTCCGCAGCCAAATGAGGCGGAACCTTCAATATTACCCATAAATGACATTAATAAATCCTTGTATCACTGCCGCACTAATCAGGTACAAATAATAATGTATAAGGCGTCCTTAAACAATGGACCTGAGAGCCATGAATATATAGGATGAAAATTATTGCAAAGTAACCTGGGAGAGGAAGACTAAAAGACATGGTAGAGAACTAGAGAGGCATTTTAAATAGGTGGGGTCTTCAGCCAGGACTCAGAATTCTCCATCGGCCGTGAATTTGTGACCTCCAAGCGCAGGGAACTCCGGAACCTGGGTGCTGTGCAAACAAAAGCTCGGTAGTCACCAAAGGTTCAAAACCTGGGGCGTGGGACGCCGAGTAGAGCACTATTGGTAGATCTCAGAAATCTGTGATCCCAGTGTACTAGAGTAGAATCATTTCGATTTCGCAACACTCATGTTCTAGTTTTTGCATGCCCAATTACTTGTAAAGGTGAGCCCTAATTACGCGTTGCATTCTGGATAACGTGTGTTTATGTGCCGCCCACCAAATGTAGTCCTATTGAGCTCGAAGAAAACGTTCTTCAACTCCCAAACTTAAGTGACTGGCATGAGTACACGTCGGGAACACAGAAGACACAAACATAAGTCTGGCCTGGGAACTTAATGCTAGTCACAGTGATGTTGACTTATACAATGACAATATTTGTGCATTTTTTAAAACCCTTAGAGGAAAATTATTAGTGAACAGCAAGTATAAAAATGGATACAATGGTGTTCTTGGTATGGAAGTCAAAATCTTCCAGTAGGTATATGTCCAGGAGGGCCTGCAACGCAAATGAGAGCAGTGAAAGGAATTAAATGCTGCTTACATGACACAAAACAATGCCAAGGATATTTTTTTAAGATTAGGTCAACCATTTCTATGGAGCACAATATATGATTCCTACAAAGGTGTATAATATATACACTAGTCGCAGAGAGCTGTGTGGAGACATTAGACCAGGGTTAGGTGGTAACCTACAGCCTGCAGGCTGATATGGTCCATGACTTCATGCCACAATATATTCATTTCTGTCACTCTTTTATGACACGTGCAATTTTATCCAGTAAAATTACCGGATAATGCTCGGGTGTATGTTACCGTGTGGTAGCCCGACAAAAGTATTTGAAAGTCCTATTCAGATTTCAGTAAGGAAAAGGTTCCCCAACCCTGCTGCAGAACAAAGCGAGGTCGTTCACTACGAGTGCTGGGGACAGGCAGGGTGCGTCAGGTATCATACGTGTAGGGAGCGTGGGGGGTATTGCCCGGTGCCACCCTCGTCCCTTCTCCAAAGCCTCTGCAGCTTCTCCCCAATCTCCGCCACGAAGCCATCGATCAGGAGGCAGTCGGCATTCCACCGATCACTGCAGAGCAACACGGCAATGTTACATGCAAGACTTTTCACAATTTACATCTACATGATTAATGACGAAATTGTGGTCACAATTGGATTCAAACATCTATTAGCTTTGCCTTTGTGGTTCATGCAGAATAAATAATGTCTACAAGGTTGCACATAATCTACAGACCTTCTGTGCACCAACCACACACTAAATATGAATAATTAATTCTTACACACGCAATTTAAAGCATGTATTGTGAGCGCTAAAGTAGGATTTTATCAACAAATCATGATCACTGAAATGCCATGCTCGCGAGCTACACGAGACAAGCCACAACTCAAGACAAAAAGGCAACTGACAACCCAGTCCTGGGGTCCCTGCTTCACCACGAACCAGCAAAGTGAAGAATGGTCAAACAATCTCCATGCGAAACAGGGGAGGCCCTTATTCAGAAGTCGATTAATAAAGTGGTATATATATTTATAAAAAAAAGTCTTGTCAAGTACAGCCCGACTATTTTGGCAGGCAAAGGTTGCCAGGTTGTTGCTGACCAAGCACTTTTGGGCAGACAGCAGAGTAAAGTGAGTAGCTTACCCGGCGAGCCGAGCCAGGTGTTGCCTGCGCATGCTGTAGTAGTGTTGCAGGGTCATCCATCGGTATACCACCTTCCTCCCAACCGCATCATCCTCTTCTTCATCTACAGCCAACAACAACACGCGATAAAGTTTAGAGCTCAAAGAAATGGTCACCAGCAGTGGCTAAACTAATCGTGCATAGTTGGCTGGCAAGGAATCCAGCTATGATAAAGGAGTGTTGATGCCCTTGCGGGCATGTTAAGAATGTACCTGGGGATTCAGGCAGCAGGCCGGCATGGCAGAACCAGAACACCACCTGTGCATATTGCGCCATCAGCCCCACCACCTTCTGCTTGCCAGCCACGTCCTCCACACCTAGTGCCGGAAAAAGATAATGTGGACACAATGTAACAATGAGAGTGAGCGGTGATCAAAGGAAGATGCACTAGCTCTCCCTTCTCTTGTGTACAGCATTAGCAGCCAGTGGACCATGTGCTGCGCTATGAATCCAGCAATTCGAGCGTTGGTGGCAAGATATATATCTGGTCATGTCCTGGACCTCAGACTTCACCAAACCACTCTGACCAATGTTGTGAAATATGGTCAAAGAATCACTATGACTCTCATAATGTGGGGCAGCTTTTGTCAGTAGTAGAATTAAATGTCTATAGCTCATCTTGTAGATACTGTGTCCCAGGCACTAAGACAGTGGTTTCAAGCTTCAATAATGAGAATAAATCATGGTATGGCGTGGCGTCGTATCATAGTGTGTTCTAATAAGCCCACTGCATAGATTCTGTATTAAAAAGTAAACCTTTGAGATCGCTACAATGATAAAAGCCACATATTCATGTCACTTTAAAGTCTATTTTCTCATTAATGGAACTTCAAACTCATATTCGACAGCTCAGGACCTCAGCCTAGGTGCATATCTAAAATGAGAGCCATGTATTTTTGAGTTACATCTTTGTTTAATGAGCCTACAGTGGTTTACAGTGCTCATGTATTATAAGGGGTAAATATAAATCCCACATCGCATCAGCAGATTAAATTAGCAGAGAATACAAAAGACTTGTGGAGATGAAAATTAATACCCTGTTATTTACGCACATCAAAGCCATGGCACTTGGCAGTAATGAAGCCAATATTAAACCAAAGCAATCTCTCACAAAAGTGGAAAAAGCACACATCAAAAGCAACGGTGAATTCTGCAAATCTCAATGGCCAAACCAGCCCACTCTCTTGATAAAACAACCCACAATTATATAGGATGGGCTTCACGAATTAAAATTCTGAGGCGTGGCATTAAGCAACTTTACCACATGGCAGGAGGGCTGGTGCCTCTGAGAGGAAGCAGCCGAGCAAGGAGGACAGGCGTAGTAGCACCAGTTGGCAGCCGTGTAGTGCCTGCATGCGCTGGTGGTCCAGTGCGTTGCATGAGCCGTCAAAAAGTGGCAAGCCTGCAGGGTCACAACAAAGACAAACAAAGATCCCCCGTATAGCCATAAGAGACTGTTGGGGCAAGTGCTGTTAGCGAGCACCTGTGAAGGACAGCACGGGGAGCCTTCGTCTCCCCAGTGGCAATGTTTATACACTGCACCAGGTACTCATTTGAGGCTGAGTCGACCTAGGGGAGGCCCAAGACCGGTTCTGAAAAAGGTCACTGGTGTTGGCCGTGAGCGGGAATTGAACCCGGATCGCCGGGTTCATAGCGCAGCGCGCTAACGCACACATACAGACACCCACAAACACGTGTTTACAGTCCCACCAAATTCTATTCTCCGGATTACAAGGCACTCTGCTAGATAAGCTGCACGTGATGCCGGTGTCAACAAAGCTACACACCTTTAGTCACAAACACCTCCTGTTTTACCAGGTGCACTCCCAACCATTGCTTTAAAATACGGACACGAGTCTTATAATCCAGAGATTACTGGAGCAATGTTTGCAATTTGTCTACTGAGCTACTGTCCCTGAGGGACTGAGAATGTGCTTTTTAACGATTTTGGCCAAAAGCAGGTCAAATGCAATAATTGTTAAAATAATCATAAATGCACAATGATACAAGTAGAACATAACATCAAGGCCTAAAGAGCTGCAGCAACACAATCCAAGGTCCACACGTCTCACTCAAGACAAAAAGGCAACTGACAACTCAGTCCTGGGGTCCCTGCTTCACCACGAACCAGCAAAGTGAAGAATGGTCAAACAATCTCCATGCGGAACTTCGAGGCTAGCTACGTGTATCATATTTTAAAACGCCATTGGCCTCGTCTGAACCGGCATATATTTCATGTGCAATTTCAGAGTCAGAGCGCTGGTGTGAAGGCATATTAAATATCAAAAAGATTTACGCTTACATAATTGATCCAGTTTTTCCTTGGTTGACACCACTTTGTTCCAAGTCCAATCCAACAGGAACCGAAGGTTGCTCGTGGACTCAACTTGACCTGAAACAAAGACAAGGCACAGGTGTGAATGGAGTCACGTTACACGCCGCTATTAAACACACCCGGGCACACGACACCAGAGGGGCATCTCCTACTTTCTTTAGAACCAAACATCAATGGATTAGTTGACAATTATAGCCAGCCAAGTAAGCTGTCTCACAAAACAAGACGTTCATCAAACACGTTTAACTTCGACGATATTCTAAGTACATAAATAGATGTAAAGGTGGAGTGGTGAAGTGGTTAGTGTACTGCGCTATGAACCCAGAGGCCAAAGTTGTATTCCCAGCCATGGCTAACATCAGTGATATGTGACATCTGAACCGGCCCTGGGTACCTACTCCACCAACCTGCACTGACCAACGTGGTAAAGTATCGTCAAATAACCACCCATGATTGACACAGCATCGGCTGGCATTCATCCAACAGTGGGCTGATACAGGCAGAACCATTTGTATGATTAGTGATGTAATCATCATGTTTATGAATGACAATAGCTACCTTGCTTACAATGGAAAAATACAATTTGGGACATTGTAAGTTGTTTAAGCAACTCTCACAGCAATAATAAAAACTGAGTGGGCTTTTAAAATGACAATTGCATGCATGTTAATCCTCACCATCGCAACAAGAGTGTGTTCTAAAACTATGGACTGGAAAGACACCCATTGAAACAGTTATTCGGTGCAGCTTTTAGAGCAGTAGTTTGCAACACAATTTAAAACACCAACCTGTGGATGCCCAGGCACGTATGGAGCTTGTTATCATTCCCAGAATCCCTTTCTTCAGTGCCACAGAAAGAACAGCCTCCATTTTCTCCTCCTGGAAAATATCACACATCATGGCCAACATTCCACAGCATTCTGGGGTATCCCGCTACAAGAACCAACAGCAATGATGGCTACAATGCCATAACAGTCATTGAATGACGTAGAAGAGTGGGGCTCAGGGGGCTAATACCACGCAAGAGAATTCAGTTAGGAAAACTTAGATATGGGGTTTGAATACTGACGGCAAGTCATGACAAAACCAGGTTCTCATGTGTACCAAGTTAATGGTCTTGGCCCAGTCACCAATAGTTGTACATGTATGGAACTTCTTTCGCACCCTACGTAGCCAACCATGCTAATTGGAGGTGCGGGAGTACTAATCGGAAGTGCGGGATTGCTAATCGGATTTGGGAGGTATGGCAATGTAAAGTTCTGCAGTTGCATGGGTCTGAGTAGTGGGTGCATGCACGTGAAATGCACTCATGATAACACAAACAACTTGGTCAACATCATTGAAGAAAACGCGCCTGAGAAACAGACCATCGGCACGTGGAGCCACGAGGTGAGAGATGATTTAATACAAACAGCTCCCACGTTGTTCTTTGCACCGAGGCCCATGCCAACCATGCTAGGTTACTGCGCGTACCCATGAAAGGTTGTTGGCTGTGGTGTTGGCGAGCCGCGAGGGCAGAAGCCCAGCTACTCGGCACCGGCTGTAGCTCTCCTGCAGCCCCTCGGCTGTCAGCAGCAATGCACGGCTCAGATGACTCAGGGTCTGTACACAGGAATGGGAGAAAACAGCACCCAATTAAATATTTACCCAAATCCAGTTATTTAGTCGACTAGACTGATGCGTGTAGCCTTGATCCAGCAGTCGAAGGATCAGGGGTGCACAAGCATGGTCTTTGAGGGCTGTAGGGTGTTCTGGATTTTGAGCCAACTGATTTTTCTTTATTACTCAATTGAACTCTTCATTGAACGAATTGCTTAATTAGACAAATTTTTGTTTTCAGCCATTAAGCAGTTGTATATTTCAAGTTATCTACAAAACCGAAAGGAGAGACAATGGGTGATAATCATGTAATGATTCATCAACTAAAATAGCATCTCCTTTTTAAAATACACTAATAGTATGCTCATGAAAACATTGCATATTGTTTATACAGGTAATATTACAATTGTACTTGTAAGCCAATGAAATCAATAAGATGGAGCAAGAGAGATATTTTAAAATAATATACAGTTTTGCATGCAATGGCAATCCCATACCGTGTAAACCGAGTGAACTGGAGTGGGGGGAGGGGTGGCTGGTAGGCAAGGGAGAAACAGTATATTGTGACATCCCCTAATGGCTGTTGATGATGATGAATGTTGAGTGGCTTTTTCAATTACATTGTAAACACACACCTCTGTTTGAAGTCCTGGGCATGTTACGTTCACGACTCCATTGTTCATCAAGCAGGTGACATCTGCATAATCGGACAACAAGTGACAATACATAAATAGAATCGTTTGCATGTTTAACATTTTCAGCAGGTTCCACACATTTTATAAGATATACGCATGGCATCTAGCATTTTAAATGGCTGCTATTTAATGGAATGTTACTTGTCTATTTAATCAATATATCATTTCAGCACTCAAATGCTTTCCTGTTATTATCAAGTAAATTTTTCACCAATTAGTAAACATTCCGCAGGCCACCACATTGCATATAATCCACACAACTAAAGGATATAGTAGTTGGTTTTTACCCTTTAAACTGGTACAAAACTGACACCTTTATACAAGGCATCATGTTTGCAATAACCACAACACAAGCAGTCAAAATGCAAACAAAAAGAAACAACTCTGATAATGGTAATGATATGCACTGTCCTTGAAGTTGACTGGTCCACACCCGAGACAGCTTTCCTTAGAGCCTAGTCTCCATTGGTGTTGAACCAGATGACGCCAAAAGGTGTATAAAGGTGTCAGTTTTGTACCAGTTTAAAGGGCAAAAAACAACTACTATATTTTGCCACTGGTAAAGGAGGTCTTATAAACTAAAGGATAGTCGCATGTACCAAAGGTGTAGGAGGTGGAGGAGTAGAATTGCTCTGGAGGCGGGTGGATGGTGGGCACGCCCTGGCTGAAGCTGCGCTCCAGAGCCAGCATATGCAGCACATACGCAGAGGGCCCAGCCACGTCGCGCAGAGCCTCCAGCGACCACAGCGAGAAGTAGTTGCAGCCCTGCATGGAGTCCTCCAGCCTGCGGTGGGCATTGCCGCCAAGACGGAACGCACGGATGGGTAATGTGCAGAAGACACCATGTACATTCAATGATGATAGTCGTCAATCACTGCCCACTTAGTTAAAACAATGCTTTATATTATTACAGATCACCATGATGATTGTTATCTACAATGAGATAATACAAGCTCTCAAAAATCAAGATCTTAATAAAATATATAGAAATTATCAAAACCATTATGAAGATGGAACAGCTAGATTGACATGTAAAAAGTAATAATCTAGAAATTAGCAGAGAAATCAACCCTTTGATTGTATTTGGGGCATTTTAAATATTTATTCCCAATCGTCTACAATTCATCTATAGGATACAACCTTTGTAAAACACCAAAACTCGTAGTCGTAGTAGTATGCTGCATCTTGTAGAAGCACAGTGTATGAATTGGTAGTAAGCATGCATGTTGAATTGAGACCAAATAATGGGATTGTTGTTCAAATTGTCATTGGTTTACCTGATGGAGTTGGGCATCTGGGCGTGATACCAGCGGTTAATGTCGAAGATGCCCAGATAAACAAGAGGCTGTGTGGCCCTGAAGGAATGTGCCTCCCACACAAACACCGCCACGCTTATGTCAGGGGAGAAGGCTCCTGTGTGTACAAACGCGTATGCATACGTCATTAGTGTCTTAACTCACCACTTATTCCAGGACTGTGGAAATGTTGATGCATTCTAAAAAATGTTTAAGCAAAAACAATCAAAGCTACATTTCAGAATTGTACTTGAGGGGTATAACATAAACATTGTTCTTATAGAAAAGGACCACTTCAAATAATTTCACAATTCACAACCTGCAGTGAGTTAAAAAAAATGCCATTATCACAATTACTGAATTACAATGTAAAAAAACAATGCATTGTTTTAAACATCGTTATTAGCAGGCACATACCGATTCATGCATTGACACAAGCACTGAATTGTGTGTATAAATATCAATCAGTTGATAAAGAAAAAATATATAAATATGCGAAGGAATTCAGCAGACGATACTAAAAAGACAAAAAAAAAATCGCGTTTGAATTGTCATGCCAAACCATGACAATGTATCAACTCAGATGAAAAGAGGGCCTGAGGGGAATTGCAACATTACTATCAACCAACAGCACACCCGTTAACTACACAAAACGGAAATAAAAACCACTTATACTAAGACAGAACCACATCCGTATGGTAAGTGTTCGACGTGCCTTCATCGAGAATTGTGTCTTCTCTGTGCCGGTAGCGCTCAACCACCTGGCACCCCAGCAGGGTGCTACCCGCAGGGGAGCCCTGGGCAGGGTACAGTTGGTCCGTCAGCTCCTGACTGTAGCACTCCTCGCAGTACTTCAGGCCCTGTGCACACCAATAACGCAGCACATGCCGCAAGCTTTAGGGTCAGCCGCTGGATCGGATGAGAAGTGACGGCTGAATGCCGTCGCATCCGAATAGCACGACTACTCTCACCAGGGTGGCCTCACCTGATAGATGACCTTGCCTCCAAGAACGCATTTACGAGATTGAAAGAGCATCTGGAAGAGATGCAAGCTCACCACCTCCCCATCCCTGTAAAATTGGAAGAATAAATTTGAGTTTGCACACACGCATTTTGTAATTTGCGCAAAGTACCGGTGCTGAGACCAATCCTATGTTAGAGTACAAATGCTACGCAACTACTTACACGTCAGGCAGAGACTGTGCCGCCCAGAGGTAGCAGCAGTTGCGTGGATCATTCTCTGGCTCCTGGAATGCAAAGGCACTCACAGGGATTGTACCTCCATCCACCTGAGTGTGATACCTGCTTAACAAAGAAGAAAGCAAGGAGCTAAGTCAACTGCCCATTAAATGAGCACACACCTTGTTTCATACGACAAAGCGCATATAGCTAAAAAAGCTAAAGCAAGCATTCATTCAATACTCACACTCTTTTGAGCGTGGCGAGGTTCCAGATTTGCATGTTTCCATCGGAGAAGCCAGCTACCAGCTGATTGGTGCGCTGCACGTACAGGAGGGCTGAGCCAACGCGAGCCTCCCCCCTCGCCGCCGAGGCAGCTGGGCCGCACAGCTGCAGGCCAATGTGCCGCCCCTCTCTGCCAGCGGACTCGCGTTTCCCTGGCAACCCCGTTGCTGATACGTAAACTGCTTCGAGGCCTGCAGAGACACACAAAAAAAAACAGGTGTTCAAGGGGAAAACTTCACCTGTTCTCAGATAAACTATTCACAAATTCAGCTGCTCGCAATTTTAAAAAAATGTTCAGTGGCATTTGTGTATCATTAAAAGAATAAATCGCAAATAACATGAGCCAGATTAGTCCATTCATATTTGCTAACTACATGTTATGCTAAAAAATACCTTTAACCAGTTGCCCTTGCTGTGTCCATGTCTGGGTGCATGCAAATACACTATGCAAGATGACAAAATACATTTTGAACTGCTGCATTTACAAAAAAAAGGATAATCTAATTACCAGGAAAAATCACCCCCCAACATTATTCTTTGCTACCTAGCACAGTGCACCCTTACATTTAAATTATCTTCTCCATTCATTCACAGATGAAGTTCTTACATTCTGCATGTATCCGATGATTGATACACATCCATGTCATAGAGAATATGATTAAAATGTAGAGATCGTGCACATGTATTCCACATGATGCAGAACACGTTTTAAATGGAACACAAGTGACATTGTGCATGTATGTGCCACTCGATGTCAATTCAAAGCAAGATAGATTGCTTGTGTTTGTATTCTCCATGACAAGTGCCAATTTAAATTAATATAGACATGCTGTGTTTGCGTAAGCATGCATCTCATGTAACAGAGAGTGCAACGACTCGGCTTGTAATTGAACGAAGAAGATTGGCAAAGGAAGGTGGCATGTTGCAGGTCCTGAAAACTGCAGCATGGGAAATCTTGCCATAAGAAAATGGAGACAAGCCAACGTTGTCCTCTTACCCATTGGGTCGCCCTCACTGCTGCCATCGGACATGTCGTCCAGGCACAAATCGAGTAGGAGCACATGCCCCGTGTGGGTAGCCACGGCCACGATCCCGAACAGCCATCGCAGGTCTTGGTGCAGGTGCTGCGTGGAGGCATCGGCACCGCCGCTACTGCTCACCACCTCCAAGGCTTTCACCTACAAGTTTCGTTTGAGACAAGGACAGAGATGTAGAATCACAGCTATCAACTCCCGAAATTATGGTTGAATCTATGGATTATCGCTTCACTTTATTATTCACATACAAATGAGCAGTTTGTGGAAAAATCTTCCACACACGAGGCTAAAAATGTGTATTAAGCGCAGGCTTTAATGGCACCAAAGATTACGTCATCAGCATCATTCTTCATCACTTGCAAAGGCAAGATATTCGATGCATCTAAAGATATACAAGGTACACAAAAGCAGAAATCTCACCCTGCCAGGAACTTCGATGGCACGAGTCACGCGCGATGTTCCCAGGTCGTACAGACACACGATGCCTGAGCAGTCGCTCTCCTCACCACCAATGCCTGCCACCCCCTCGTGCCTTTGTGCATTCTCTAGCCCCACAAGCAAGTAGCGCCCGCCAGCCCATGTCAGCCCTTTTACAGTCGACACGGCTAGCTCCCCGCTGGGCCCCGAGAAGCAGTACGCTGACAGCCGCTGACCGGAGCGCGGGCTCAACACCTCCAGCACGGCACCGCGAGCCAGCCAGCTCACGCCCACATCTGATGCAGAAAATAAACAGCCATTCAAGTCAATTCCTGCCGGAAGTTACAGGGTGCAAGCCAGGACATGCGTGCAACTTCCTCACAGGCTGAGCCACTGTGGTAGTGCTTGCCAGTAATCCAGCACCTTGGAGGTAAGCATTGCTGGACCATGCAGATCTGAGAATGGCATACCCATTGAATTGTGAGGTGGCCAGGTGATGGCAGTACAGCAAGTGGATGGTTGAAACTCATCTGCGTGGACTTTGAGTGCTAGCCCCAATTATGTGTTTTTTTCTTTGTAGGTACTGTAAGTTCTCTCCCACATGTAAAACACCCCTTGAAAGGGAACTGGCCAAAAATCCTTATGTAGGTTTGTCCTGAAAAATAGCCTTCAGACCACGTGAGGGTTTTAAGGGTATTTTATATTACGGCTTATTTACAAATTATTACTAAATCAACATCAATTACTGATTTTGCATATCCTATACGTGTGTTAAAGTCCAAAGATCACATAATGGATTTCAATACAATTGTGCAAGTAAATATCAACACGGGTACACGCATGTCAAATATATGTATTCCACAAACTACCACCGTAATCCACATTTGCTGGTAGGTGGGATCCTACCCAAGACAGTTTGCTCTGCAGGAAGGAGGCAGCTGAATGTGATGTGCAAGGGCTACTATGCGCTTGGGTACCTTTTGCAAACTGTCCCAGCAGAGGGGCTCCATGCGCGCTCTCGTCAGTGCCCAGAGCGAGCCGGGTGCCCGCACTCAGCTGCAGCAGCCCGCTGCTGGTACGCGCCCGCAGCTCTCTCATGCCACCTGCAGGCCGCCCAGACGCCTTGGCTCTAGCACTAATCTGGCCTTATTGCTGCAACAGACCAAAACAAAGTTGGGATTAGTCACACAAGAGATTGTTCACGGTATCAAACATAGCACCTGCTTTACCACTTCACTTGTTTCTAATGGTTCTGCGAAGTCTCCATCATGTCAATAATAAGGGTTGTCTGACCATATTTCAACACACTGTCCAGTGAGGATTGGTGAAAGGGGCACTGTACCTATAACAAAATCTGTGGCTGGGAATGCTGCACAGTGCTCCTTTAAACAGTCACTACTTCACACGTTGAGTAAATTTATAGGGATGACTTAAGCAGCCTGTGGCCAAACCTATCTTACTAAGCACAACAGCAAGCTCTTCCCTCCAGAACACAAGGCACATTTAAACACAGAACTCATTCCACTGCAATGCTCTCCAGGCTCGATTCTCAACACAAACATCCACAGTACATTTGGTCATCACACATTGCACGGATCAGTGATGAAGACTAAATCTGTAGCCACGGGCAGTACTGTACACAATAAACACGGGGAGGTGGGAGTCTTAAGCCCAGCTTTGCCATTCAGTAAGTGCACGCTCACAACTTAAGATGCAGTCCAACACTGGTGGGACTGTGGGTTCATACACAACAATGCTAAATTGCCTAAGATGAGACATCTCAGCAGGGTCTAAAATACACCTATCAAATGTCTGTCTCACCACAAGAAAATACAAACACACTTTAGTCGTCCAGCCTGCACACCTACTAGACCTTCTTCCTCCAAAATTTGGTACAGCAAGACACACCATGAACCTGACTAGCCCTTCTGGTTCTCATCAGCAGACTGGTAAGCGTATTTAACAAATACTGTTACAGACAAGAAAACAATGCTGAAACCAATCGACAGACCCGTTACGCGATAAAACTGTCACATTGCACAAGTAAAGTGATGCGGTACTCCGTGTGGGTTACGGCCAGGCCACGTGGTTTGCCGTAAGCCGGGTTTCTTTTAACTCAAATAAACTGGGCAGATTCGGCGTTTCAAATGAAAGGTAATCATTTCCGTTTGCGTCAACCCCAAATCAACCACTACATATAGTACCGCTGATTATAATAAAGATACCTGATATTCTGTGTGGTCTTTCGGTAACGTCACGGAGATAGATTTGAAGCTTTCGTGACTTCAGGAATCCACTCTTTGGTTCTTTCGGTAAAGTCATTTCATTTTATTTCGACCTACGTGACTGTACCTAAAGAACCAAAGAGTATCACGGAGATAGGTTCAAAGAAAAGAAAATAACAAAATGTTATTTTCTTTGAACCTATCTCCGTGACTTTACCAAAAGACCCAAAGAATATGAATTCCTGCAGTTACGAAAGCTTTAAGTCAATAGATACCTGACTAGGAATATTTGCAGTTATGCAAGGTTCACTGCTATTAACCGCAGTGGAAAAATCATAGTAATGAATCAACTCATGAAAAGATTCACGTGTTGATAGCGGAAAGAACATCGACTTGGCATATCGATGGAGACACCGGTACGTTACGTAAAATAACGGGACACAAAGAAAACTTTGATTTACAAACGGCACACATCGTTGATATACTTAAGCGTCTCCCCTGCTCGACTTGTGCCAACTCCACATGTTTACGACCTTGTCGAAGGAGTCTATCCATAGGCCAACCATACTCTTTGGTTCTTTATAAATGCAGTAAAGGATTTATTTTATCGACCCCAGAAGAGCGATGATGGGTCGAATTTCTCCAAACTGGTGCTCTAACCCCATGGCGCTTCGGAAGAAGTGATGCCCGGCCAGACTCGTTGCAATTAGAACAAGTATTCACCAATGCGATTATACATGATTCGTCATTTGCAGACACCCCCCATTCAACATTTTGTGGAAAAAAAACTTGCAAACATTTAATTCGAAACAAGCCTCGAAATATAAAAATGATATATTCTTAACACAATATTTACAAGGCATGGCTATATTGCTTTCACAGAATTCAATCGCCCGTTGACAATCATCTGTGGGCCTGTACATTGATCGCCCTGCAATCGAAATGGAATTAAATAGTCAAGGAGTTGGAGCCATTGAAGCCTAAGAATCGCACGTCCCAAGCCTTACTTAGGCCTCTCTCACAGAAACCACCGCCTCGCGTCACCGCGGGGGTCGCAGACGCGTCTACCGATGGCGACCAAATCCCTCCGACAAGAACCACCTTCTTCAACGCACACCCAAGTTCAACTTTAAGCCCTGTCCGGAGCTCGAAGCCCGAGCCCAAGGCCCGCCCGGCCTAGACGAGCGAGGCAAGAGGCACGGGGCGTGCGGGGAAGAAACTCGCCACACGCCGTCTGCTGCTCACCAAGCGAAGGGGCAAGAGACGCGTCTACACGAACGCGGGCGGGGAGCAGCTCGAGCTTGTGCTAGGGCCGCACTCCCAGCTCACGGGGTCGTCTTCTCCTCCTGCTGATGCTGCTGCTGCTCACCAGCTCCCGCTATTGCACATCCCGCGCTTCGCACTCGCCGCCATTTCCACTCAAACGGACGTGGGGGGGGGGTGGAGGCGGGGATTGGTGGCGACGTCAAACGGCCACGGGGTGACGTCACATCGCAAGAGATGACGGTCCTTGAGGAAGAATGATGTCATGTAGCTGCTTGAGACTTCAAACGCGCGGCAAGGTGGTGGAGCTCAGTATTGGAGTGACGTCACGTAACTGGTGAATGATGTCATGCGCCAGATTGAGTTTTCAAACGCGCGGCAAGGTGGTGGTAATTTTAGTGGAGCAGTTACACCTGATGACGGAGGATTGTGTTGCTTCCGAAACGTCGTGATTTAATTTAGTTATGTTCATTTATTTTTAATTTATTTTATTATTATTTTACCTATGTGACTTTACCGAAAAAACCTAAGAGTAAGTTGGTGGAGTTCAGTACTGTAGTGACGTCACGCAACTGTGAATGATGTCATGTACCAGATTGAGTTTTCAAATGCGCGGCGAGTGAAGGTGAAGCTTAGACGTGACGTCACGCAACTGGTGAATGATGTCACCGACCAGATTGAGTTTTCAAACGCGCGGCGAGTGGTGAAGCTTAGTCGTGACATCACGCAACTGGTGAATGATGTCATGTACCAGATTGAGCTTTCAAACGCGCGGCGAGTGGTGAAGCTTAGTCGTGACGTCACGCAACTGATGAATGATGTCATGTACCAGATTGAGTTTTCAAACGAGTGGCGAGTAAAGGTGAAGCTTAGTCGTGACGTCACGCAACTGGTGAATGATGTCACGTACCAGATTGAGTTTTCAAACGCGCGGCGAGTGGTGAAGCTTAGTCGTGACGTCACGCAACTGGTGAATGATGTCACGTACCAGATTGAGTTTTCAAACGAGTGGCGAGTGAAGGTGAAGCTTAGTCATGACGTCACGCAACTGGTGAATGATGTCACGTACCAGATTGAGTTTTCAAACGAGTGGCGAGTGAAGGTGAAGCTTAGTCGTGACGTCACGCAACTGGTGAAAGATGTCATGCGCCAGATTGAGTTTTCAAATACGCGTCGAGTGATGGTGAAGCTTTGTAGTGACGTCACGCAATTGGTCCACTGCTGGATGAAGACCTATTCTTTGGTTCTTTCGGTAAAGTCACGTAGATAGAAACATAATGATAAAAAATAAAGTGAATATTGTACAAATAAAAACGATAAAATTAAGTAATAAAAAACTAAAGCCTGGTTCTTAAGTTTGGTGAGTGTACTGGCAGTCTATAGTGTAGAATGTAGTAATGGTTAAGCTGGGTGAGTGGACTGGTAGTCCATAATGTAGACTGTAGCAATGGTTATTAAACTGAGCATACTAGCAGTCTATAATCGGGTACCTGATTTATTCTTGGTTCTTTCAGTAATAAAAAATAATAAAAAATAAAGTGAATAAAAATAACGCACTTCATTTTTATTCACTTTATTTGTTTATTATTATATGGACGTGACTTTACCGAAAGAACTAAATACTATGAATTCCTGCAGTCACTAAAGTTTGAAGTCAAAATTTGGATGAAGACCTATCCACACATCCAGTTGTTTGACCATACTTCACCACAATGGTCTGTGCGGGTTGGCAAATGGGGAGGATAAGTGAAGATAGCATAAGAACACATTCCTGCGGAGGGAGCTGGTCAATGGCCAGGGTCAACGGCGGCGTGGTGTATTCCGCAAATATGCCCGACTGTGAGGGCGGGCACAAGCCGGCGTGAGTAGGTGAAACGTTGAGTTTTATAAGGGCACCACGGGGTGACCAGCCCCTCCCCACCCAGCCCCACCCCTCCCACCCCCTCCCAGCGCCACCTTCCCCACCCAGCCCCTCCCCACCCTCCCCTCTCCACCCAGCCCCACTCCTCCCACCAAGCCCCTCCCCACCCTCCCCGCCCCACCCCTCCCACCCCCTCCCAGCCCCACCCTACCCACCTAGCCCCTCTCCACCCAGCCCCACTCCTCCCACCCAGCCCCTCCCCATCCTCCCCTCCCCACCCAGTCCCACCCCTCCCACCCCCTCCCAGCCCCACCCAGCCCCTCCCCACCCTCCCCTCTCCACCCAGCCTCACTCCTCCCACCCCCCCACCCTCCCCACCCAGGCCCACTCCCTCCCAACCCAGCCCCTCCCTCCCAACCCAGCCCCTCCCTCCCCACCCAGCCCCTCCCTGCACGACGGACACAATAATCCCCTGTGGGCTGGTGTAACCAGGAGGTTCCTACCAGTATAAGTACATAATATAAGGTAAGTTAGCTATCACGTGCCGCTCATTCTAAGCCTTCATCCAGCAGTGAAAATCCAAGGCTGGTAATATTGAACTTGGCTAAGTTGCGCCAGACATTTTCTAGCTTGGCTATTCAGAGTATATAGCGAATTCGAAAACACTGATATCTTTCCATTCAAAATAATCTGCTTTAGTGAGGTAATCTTTTAAGAGGTTTATTATTTATCTGCAGTATTAAAATAGAGATTGCAGCGTATAGCCCGTGCAACATAATCCATCGTTGTTACTGCATTTCTATACCGCCACGTCAAAACACGCACAAGTGTATTTTGCCCAATCTTGATTTGAAGCTTTCGTGACTGCAGGAATCTATACTCTTTGGTTCTTTCGGTAAAGTCACGTAGTTAGAAAAAAATAAAAAAACATTTTCTTGCTGTGGTTTTCCCACCTGATGATGATTGCTGGTGTTGCAATCAAAGCGTCGTGATTTGTTTTTATTTAATTTCTAACTACGTGACTTTACCGAAAGAACAAAAATAGTTTTTTTTACATTTGAAGTTTTCCATACTCTGTTTTTTTTTGTAAAGTCACGTAGGTAAAAAAATATCAAATATATTCAAGTATGTATTTTGCCCTAGATTTGAAGCTTTCGTGACTGCAAGGATTCATACTCTTAGGTTTTTTCAGTAGTCACGTAGGTAAAAAATAATAAAATAAAAATAAAATAACAATACATGAAACAATCAATTAAATCACTTTCTTCGGTAGTCACGTATGTAAAAAAAATGTATTATTTTTTACCTACGTGACTTTACCGAAAAAACCTAAGAGGATGTATTTTGCCCGTCATCGGTGACCAATCGGAAGTCTCTGATGTCGGCCCTTCACAGGGCGCCTTTTGATTGGCCGTTTTTGAATTTCCCGCCTATGACTGGACCAATCAGCGCACTGAGTTCGCTGCGCACGTGGCCCGCAATTGTTTCGGACACTTGATGTGAAATGGAAATTGTAATGTTTCTTGAACTGGGAAATATGTTCTCTAAACTTGAGCAGAATTTGAATAATTATCTTGTATACTTTTATTCTAGTTATATATTGCTGAGCACAAAGCCAAACTGTTAAGTAGCCAGCAGCAATTCACAAGTCCCATCTCAAAAAAAGTGTTTGTCTTCGATAAATGCCTTAGAAGACTACACAAATCCTGGTCCAATATTTTTTACATTGTAAGATGAAAGAAAAACGTTCATATTTCCCAAAAGCAACACAGCCATATTATCTGCTAGTAGCATACATAATTAAACATGTCCTCAATTGATGCACGCTCGTTATCTACACATTCGTATTATCCGTATAAGCGGATCAGAGAAGTCACCCGCACAAGTTGTGGCCTCACACAAGTGCTAAATTCATGCTATTATCCGCATATTTTGAAGTAAAAGACGGCTCACCTGTCCGCGGTGGCACTTTCATTCCATTATGCACAGGAAATTACAGATATCTTGAATTTTCCGAGCAGATAAGCAAAAACGGTCCACCAACAACATCCGCTACACGAAAGCAGATAAGGTGGGAGAGTGCGTCCTATATGTTTTCTCTTATAAGTGTTCAATGTTAAAGATAATGTGATTGATGTATTTGATTTAGGCATGTATTATAAAGGCACAACCAATAGATAAGACGCACAACAGGAAATTGCTGCTAATTAATTTTTATCACAAAGTGCAGACATCTCATACAGTACATTGCAATCTCTTTGGAACCATTTACAAAAAAATACATTGGAAACATTTCCCTAAAAAAACATATTACACGTCAGTAGAATTACAGTGTCTAAAAACACTTGTTTGGCTAATTGTACCGTGTTCTACAACCTGCATAAATCTCACATTTTTCATAACACTTTTTATATTCAGGTCAGAATAAGCAGAAAACAAAAAAACTTTCTAATTTTGATGGAAAATAACACCAGGTCTTGTATCGTAAGTTTAGGAAAAAGCTATGGCACACCAATTCTACAAATAATTATTGTAAAGGAGCCTGAATTCAGGTCAACATTGGGCCTAAAGCTAGGATATTGGATTCATAGACACATACAGTACATGTAGGCAAAGTCGTTTGCTCACTTGCAGGCAATCCTGCCTGCAATGCCTTTGCTTATTTAGGGTCATATTGTTTTAATTGGACTTTTCAGTGAGGTGGACTTTGAAGCTTGGCCATGATGGGCATAATGGAAAGCTGGGCAATGAGCCAGCAGTGCACATGGGGTTATAGAAAACCTAAGTAGAGTACTGTACTGTAATGAGTCCATGCCTCGACTGGAATTTGTGCAGCTCATCTAATGAGTGCCCATCATTTTAAAAGGCACAGGGCAGGTAGTGCACGTCAAGACCTGGCTCCTTGTGGGCTGGTGTGGGCCTATGTACAGCTGTTGTGCTTCATATTAACTATGAAAAAATAAAACTCATCAGAACCAATGCATGTTTTTCATGTGCTTCCATCACAATTAGCATGACAGTACTTTCACAGAACAAGGATTTTCACAGAGTGATTTGCTCATCAAAACATTTTCACGTTCTCGCATGTCACGTAATGGGGGTTAGGTCATTTGAGGTGACACGCGACCTCTTACCATAAAAGATCTTGTGACTTCACGAACAACAACAAATGTTTAACTCAAGGATTGGCAGCAACAAAAAGGCTTAATGCTAGAACTTACATGGGAAAAGTGAAAACCCATGAACCACAGATGTAATTCAACCTTTGGCTTTCAATAAATGTCATGTCAAACACTTTGC